GAACATGGTTACAGCACATTAGTAACGTGGTCTTCAGAGTTAGCAGTCATTATGTAAGCTCTATCAATACAAAGAAAGTACAGTATTTCAGGATTAACATGAACACGAATACATTAAATCTTAGTTGTTTACAAAAAATGGCCCATCTTGTTGTGATTAATTTCCATCAAAAATAATGCCAAATGATATGTACAAATCATGGTTTAAATTTTCATACATTTCTCTTATGATTTACCAGTCATATTGTACTGAAGATAATCAACTGTTACTGATATACACAATTGTAATATACTTATTGAAATTACTACAAAGCAACTATAATGTGGAAAAAAGAATTTGTCTTACCTTATAAATAAAACCACATTAATCAACTTAGTTTTAGTATAGTTCTCATGTCCATTGACCTCTTAAGCAGTGTAGGAGAGAGAGAGGTTATTGACAACACACAAGTGTAGGAGCATGGACAGCTTAGCACACCCACTGTGGACCTGAGAGCCGGCCCCTATCACTGATAGATTTTATAGTTACATATTTTAATTTCTCTCAGATTAAATAATTTTATTTGTAAGTGAATACTGTATTTGTATGGTTCTGTACATCTTAAATCATTTGTTTGCAAACATATTGCCTCCTTCTCAATCTACTGTAGAAACACGTCTAATTTTAATGTATTAGTTTATCCTAATCGAACTGAAGGATTAAGTTCTTGGAAAACAACACGTAAGATAAAATAGTGCTTGTATTTTTTATATCTTGTGAGAAAATCAAGTTTTGGATATTATATATTCCTACCAAACTGCAAAGTCAAACATATTCATCATGTTGGGGAGAGAGTGGTGAATTTTTTTCAATTGCACAGCACTGTAATGTAAACTAAATTGAGATGCCTAAGACCATGTTCACCGAGTGCAAAATTAATTGGATATACCCTGTACAGTATATAGTCTTCCAGAACTATATAATTACAAAATCAGTCTTCATTCAGAAAAATAAAAATTTTAAAGAGTGACGGTAGCATAAAATCTAAATTCCTCATATCTGGTTGTGACACCGAGTTCTCTGTATACATCTGAGACTGTGTCCCGGCAGCCTTAAGCTTCCCTGTACACTTACTGGAGGAGGCAGCCAGAGGGTAATGGAGATAATGTACAGTATACTTGAACTATCAATGTGGTTTCATTTACAAGCTCGTCATTAACACTGCTGCGACTCATTCCAAGAGTGCAGTAATGCATGTTCATGTGCTAGTTATGTAACTACAGTATAACTGGGCTTCTAATGCAGTCATACAGAGTGAGCAATGAGTTAAAAAATCATGACAAACACTAAATACGCTACAATGTATCACAGCGTCTACACATAATTACCTGCAATGCATCTAATATTTATCACAGAACGTAATGTAAACATCAGTTAACACTGCCTTTGGTGGGGTATTTCAATTAATATTTTGTCTTCAAAATTTATTGAAAATAGAATCCTCGTTAGATAAAAACAAAAAGTTATAAGGAGTTTAAGCTCTTGACAAGCCTGGCAAGCTCATAGATGTATATAATATAATCTATCATTTGGCAACTTGCTAAAAAGCTTGATGGTCAGGCAGGAAATCTATACCTGTTCAAAAAGAGCTGTTTGTGGTCTACTTTTTCCTTCTACTCTTGAGAATCTGAATTTGTATCATGTAATAATAAAGTGAGAATATGTGATAATACTGGTCATTTTAATGTCTCTTTGTAAGATTATTATGGGGGAATTATGATCAACAAAACCAGGACTTACTTAAAATGTCTTCCAAACTAAAAAAGGGAATTTTAATATACAAGAATAAATATGCTGTCAAAAGTGATTAACAAACAGCATCCTTTATGGGGATTAATATAGTCCAATATTAAAGTATATACAGTATATAAATATTACTTCTGAATTAATGCTAAAGTCAATGAGGTGTTGGACATTCATCTGTCAAGAATACGTGTAATTTTATCAAAAGAAAGCTATTAATTCTTTCGTTTTATAATTTGCTTCTTGTCTTCTATGGTGGTAGAGTATAGGGTGGATGGCAGTAAGACAACACACACACTCATCCCTCCTTCACTGTCATTCATTGTCTCTGTCTAAATGAAGGGAACAGCCAACAATGGAGAAAAGGTTTACATCAACGAATAAATTATAGTCTTTAACAGCTTTCTTTCCTGCTCATGACCAAATTTTATATTTTGGCTAAATGTCTTAACACATTTTTTGTAATTGTAAATCTTCATATTTTCCCCCAAACAATTATTAAAATTGTACTCTACATTTAACTTTAATTTGATAAAACTGAAAAATTTGGGAATTCCCAGCTTATTGGGCCCAAATGAAATAACATCTGGGTGTAGTAAGTAGGATGATAGGAGTGTAAGTGTTGGGTTGGTCAGTGTAATGTCAAGGACCTGCACCAGCTAACATTTCTCATCTCTAGGAATGTGTCATTCCACCTCTTGGTAAGTAAAGTAATGCATACTACGGTACCTATTCATAAATTCCACTAATATTAACAACAAATGCATCAAATGGTGCTAACATATCCTAAACTTAGCATGTAGAGTACACAGCTCTTGGAGTCTGTGCTACCATAACATTAGTCTAGTACAGTACCTCAGATGATGGAACAGAGGACCTAAAACTTAGTGCAAGACTGTGATACCTCCTTTAATCTTTGACTACTGATATCATACCAGCAGAGACAGCCATCAGTGTTATGATTCACTTAAAGAAAAGTATACAAGTCAGTTGTCTTTTACAAAAATTGTTGGCCAATTTCAGGCAAGAACTAAAAGGATAGGTGAGGCATAAGGGCATAAATAACAGAACTGCATTAGCATTACAGTATACATAATCTGATCTTGTTGATTTGTTTGAGCTTTCATGAATGTACAATTAATGGTTTCAATAATACTTGTAACGAAATACAATAATAGCAAAAGACAACTAAGGTTTCACATAATTTGTAAAAATTCAATTCTTACTCTTGTAATAAAACCCTCATTGAGAGATATTTCAAATGTTAAGTTAGACCTTCAAGTCCATTGGACTTCAACTTCAGTTGAGTGTACTGTACAGGAAAGACGAAGGTTACAAGCACACATGTTAAGTACTGACAGCTTAGTACAACTGACAGACAGTTCCCTAGATATAATAAATTAGATTACAAGCCAGATATTGACCTGATAATCAATAGTCTTCAGTAAGGGATCTATAGTCTGGTCACTCACACTTTAAACTGAGGTCTAGGGACAGTTTCTTGTAATGCAGCTGATTAGCTGACAGGCAGACATGCTAAAAGCCACTACAATTCTTTAGTGCATTAATCTATTGTATTTATAGTCTAATATTTTAAGAGATAATAACCTTTCTGCATTGATCTCTGATAATTTCTGCACTTCCAGAGGTAAAAATTAGCTTGTAAACAAGAAAATCTTACAAAATTTCAGCAACATCCTCCATCCTGCAGTGAGGGAGTTTACGTTGCTAAACTTCATCATCATGTTCGTGTTCTTTTTATAATATTTATGTTACCAGAGATTCACAAGCCAATTTTTACCTCCAGGAGTGTGGAAATTATCAGAGATCAACACTGAAAAGCTCTTACCCTTTAAAATATCAGAATATAAATATGATATATTAAATAATAAACAAATGTAGTGGCACTTGGCGTGTCTGTCCACCAGCCAATCAGCTGCCTTGTTACAAATGACCCTAGGCCTCAGTTGCAAAGTTTGAGTGAACAGACTACTGTATAGTTAGTTTGATACAGTACAGTACTTTCACTTTTTGTTTCTGAAGATGTCTCTACCAGCTGTACTGAAGTACCTGTAAACATCTCGTACTTGAATGTTCTCCACAGCCTCACTTTCCCTGTACAGTACAGTGGTCCCTCGATTAACGAACACAATTGGTTCTACAGAGTCTTTTGTTAACCGAAAATTTTGTTAACTGAGTCTATTATTTCAATGGGATATTGGGTAATTGGTTCCAACTCACAGAAAAAGTACAGTATACATACAAAGTACGTACTGTATACAGGTAATAGAATTAACAAAACATTAAATATAAACTAAATACTGTACAGTACTGTACTGTACAGTATACTGTATAATAATAAATAAAAAACAATAGAATACTAGATTTTAACTTACTTTGAGGTGTGTATGTAGTACTCCCGGCAGCTTTGTTTACAAATCAAACAGCTGATTGTAGAGGCAGTCGAAGATGACATGCCATATTCTTTACAGAGTGCATTGGTTCTAATGCCATCTTCATGTTTCATAATAATTTCTGCACTGTATATTATCAATATGTGAACTAAATTTCAGAATGACCAATAATTTTAATGTAAAAATGCAAAAATATTCAAGAGACCAACAAACTGGATGTTCACTCCACTGTAAACAAAGTTAAACTGAGAAGCGTTGGTGGGTGATTCGATCAGCTGAAGGGTGCACAAAATCTGTTCCCTGTACTGTATATATTATCAATATGTTAACTAAATTTCAGAATGACCAATAATTTCAGTATAAAAAATGCAAAAATATTCAAAAGCATAACTTGCTTGATATTTACTCCACTGGAAACGAATGTAAACACAGAACCAATTACTGTATTGGCGGACTAGCCAATCAGCTGATGCGCACTCCAAGGCGTGTTTTTTGTTAGTCTTTCGTTAATCGAAGTTTTATTTGTTAATGGGACTGAAAATCCTTATGGGAGCTAATTCGTTAAGCAAAATTTCGTTAATTGAGGGACCACTGTACTGTACACTTAATGAATGAGGCCAGTAGATAGCAAAATGTACAAAAGAAGAAGTTCATCAAAGAGTTTGGGTTAAACTTGCAAGTTTAATTTTCATATTACTATGAAGCTTTTCTAATAAAGTGCTAAGTCTAATTAGGCAATGGCAAGTTTGAAATCCATCATGGTATTGCTTCATTTGATATCACAGGTACAAATTAAATAGAAACTACTTACTCTCTCCTTTTTATATGTAAAAATATCTTGTCTTTTACTGTTTGTAAACAGATATGTATTACAAGTGACTAGTGTTTTTGAACTGTATGATCTGCAAACTTTGACTGCTATATCACCATCACAACTAAGCACAATATTTTCTTCCTGAACAAATACAAATTTTCAGAAATAGATAATTTTTCAAAATCACTGAACACTTACTGAAGATATAATATCAGGAAAATCACAAGTCAGCACAGAGGTTGGTGATAAAACTACCTTTAGAGGGAATGGTTCACAACTATAAGAGTCCACACCATAGATGGAAACAACACGCATTGACAAAGTCCTGTATGAGCGCTTGAATGCGACTGTCAGAAAACTTCTGCACTGTTCCCTCACCCTTCAGTTGCTTGTTAACACAGCATAATTCCTGTAAATAGAACAATGTGTATACTGTAGATGATAAGGGTCACATAATTTCTAGCATTTAAATTTAGGTTAAGCACCACCTTTGTGATCATGGCACCACATGAGACTTACTGTATCTTTGCTTAATATCTACTCAGTAAAGGTAATGATCGTTCTAAATAAAACTTTGAGTATACCATTCCTATTTTAAGTTATCATGAGGAAAACCTGAGTTGTCATAACCACAGAGGATGTTAACACAGATATTCCTATAAAGATCTGATACTGTTCTTAAATATCTCAGGTGAGCTAATTTATTAATGAATAATATATTTTACTATACACTAGTACTTAAAATCACTAATATAAGAGTACTGTACCTATACCAAGTATTGTATACGTTGCTATATGTCAGACGTACGATCTTGAAAATTGTGACGTCGAGTGAATCAAGACAGAGTAGAATATAATGAACACAAGTTTATCACAGACCTAATGTTAAAGAGTTTTGTTAAGGTTTTATTCTCAGTAAACTGATGAAATCAAGTGAATGTGGTGGTGATGCTTAAACTGAAGCTGGGGAGGGGACGCAGCAGGGGAATTCACCAGTTGTTCAATATTCCAACGTTACCCAAAGTAGTCCACCACTGCCAAATTTTTTCTCCAAGTCATGAACAGTGTACAGTAAAGGCAGACCATATAGCAAAGTAATGTATAGTGAGGTAAAATATACTTGTATTGAAATTTTGAACAATCTAAATTTTGACAATACAGTACACACCTGTACTGGCCAAAACAAAAACAAAAATTAACTTGGAATTGAGCAGTATTGTAGTGTAACATGTTTAATTAATTTAGTAAATACACAAAAACACCAACAATCAACTTAAAAAGATTACAGGACTTGAGTACTTTGAGCTGCAAAATTAATTAAAGTTTTTCCAAATGTCAGTAGGACAAAGATTAACCTTTTTTACCCCAGATCCCCAAACAGCATGTTGAGGAGTACTGTACCTATTTTGAACAACATCAAAACTGTCAAGATTTGGGCAGAAATAGTTCTCAAAGCTTAAGACTGTAGGCCCATGGTTAGTGAACGGTGAGAAAAGCAGAATTTATAGCAGTCATTATAAAGACTTACTGCTTTCTGGTGGTGCAGGTTTATGGAGAGCATCATGAAGGCGTCAGGACAGGTAGAGCTGAGTACCACAACGTGCTGAATATTACCATCACTGGATGTTAAACTCCTAATTAAAAAAAATTAAATAAATTACACATAATGACAGGCATATAAACATGTGAAACGTTTAATTACTGTAACTGTATCTGTCTGCAATCCAAGAAAATTTTAGCTTTTCTTAGTTATTCAGCTGAACACTTACCTTACAAACAAAGTATTGACTGTGCTTACTGATGATGAAACCCTTTAGTAGAGTAGCATCCTGTCGTCTACTCATACATTAACTACAGGAAGTCGCTAATTAATGTGAAGTTCGGTATGTGTTCGTAAAAAAACAAAACAAAGAGAAGTGACGGATACTTTATATTTCACGAGACAGTATACAGCACCTACGGCTAAAACGACTGCAATAAAGACATAGTTCAGCGTACCTGTGGCGTTCCTGATACTTGGATTGTAGTACCCTCGTCAGACCTTGGTACCAGAGCAAGGGTTTAGACAGGAGCGGCAACAGTTGTGGGTCGACAGAACTCAGAGGCTCCACTCTCACCAGGGTCAGAAGTTCACTTAACTCTATGAAGCTTAAACCACCAAGTACCTGAAAAAGATACCCCATGATGGAATAAATTGCTGAAATATTATAAAATGAATAAATTATTAAAATGCTCTCTATCTGTTAACATGAGATGATCTAGAGAGACAGAAAACACAGTAAGTAAGAGTCAAGCAATTAAATATTATTAATCCTACATGGTTTATAATATGCTTAGGAAACAATCAATCAATCGAAGTGCCATCTTCACGTCTGAGCCTTGACAACAAGAGTCGTCCACTCTAAACATTATTGGGTTGCCATACAAATACTGACATTATTCTTCCATAACTGTCTTACAAGTACAGGGCTGTGTACTATTGACAAATATAAGTAATTAATCCCCCTCCCCCCCAAAAAATCAGAATAATTAAATAAAAAATTCTTCTCTGTTTTGTCCAGTCTTACCAACTCTTTTTCATTACACTGCAGGATCAATGGGTGGTTGGAACAGTGCAAACATACTATCTCTCTTCAATCATCCAAGCTCCTGTAACATCCCATAACCTTTTAACCCCAAGCTCTTCACTAACAATAAATAAGATCCAGGCAACAAATTCACTACTTCAAGAGCTTTTTTCCTTCAAGATTCATAAAGTCAACCTTGAAATACCAGACCTGTTCTCTTGATAATTTCTGCCTCTCTTCTTCCCGGAGGCTGGCTGTTAGACGCTGCCATAACGAGTCTCGTCTGTAAATAAAAAGAAAAAAAGAAGTAAATTAACACTATGAATTATACACAGTGTCAGAGGGTTGACTGTGCTGATCCTACTGGCTGCAGGTTCCCACTTCAAGATACAATATGGCCTGGCCTCAGTCACCTATATAAACATTACCACAGGGAGAGTCTCAGGGTAGCTATACAAGGTACAGTATAACACATATAAATCATTGTACAGACTAACACACACACAATAGTTGACATTTTCATTAAAGAATACAACATTTTGTAAAGATTGAGCATATCTTACCTGCAGTGTATCTTGGCCTGGTTGAAGATGTGATGAATGCGAGTCCTGGCCTCTTCTGCCTGGGCCTCTAGTGTCCTCTGCATGGTCTCCTCGTACACGGTGTAGTAGCCGAGGTAGTTCACACTCTCTGACCTAACCCACAGAGTAACTCATTTAAGTGATCAAAATATACTTGTAACTATAAAAATAATGATCGCAACACAACAATAATTTAACAATAAAATTTAAAATTCCCAACGTAGGAGTGAAATATTTAATTACTGTATTTATTTTATTATTTTCCACAAGACAACTCAAAGATTTCTATCTGGTTTATCCCTGTCACTTTTTCACACCTATCAGTAGCACATCCAACCCCTTGATCCACTGAGACATCTTGACACACACACACACGCACGCACACAACAAACACACACACACACACACACACTCTACTGTTTCAAGGGCAGTCACTGGACACACTCAACATGCATGAGTCAAAGATTTCATTTCCAAAATAACAAAATATAAAAAACAAAAGGTAATACATTAACTGCACATATTGTAAAGCCATAAAGTAAGGATTAATACATTAATGAGGGATTACCATACAGTATTCAATATAGCTTGCTTCTTCAGTTTACGGTCACATGTCCCATTAAGTTGAAAGAGAAGTGTCCCCATATGGAAAAGGTTACCTGATGCCAATATAAGACTTGACAGGTGGTGGTGGCACATCATTCCCAGCTGAAGGAGTTTGTTGTGGATTTTCCTCAGCCGCAGCAGCAGGAGGAGTAGCTGATCCACTCTGATCACTACCATCTGTTGAAACAAATTACACTCAACTTAATGATATAAAAGACATGATTTTACAACTGTTAGAACCTTTGATTTATGGCCATTTTGAAAACTAATTTATGATGTTTTAAGGCATCTGTTTCTGGATACCATTAACAGAAGACCAAGGTATAAACATAAGAGTTCAAAAATATCATCAGTGGGACATAAACTGATTACTTGACCAAGGTACATAGCACCCAGCCTATAAAATGAGGAATGCTTTGTGATTAAGTGGCAATGGGGGGAGAGGTGTAGTAATGAGATTTAAATATCAGGATACTCTACATGTACCATCTTGTTGTAATGAAGAAGAGGAAGGAGCTCCAAAAGTATCTGAGACCTTACCTGGATGGGTGGAAGAAGAGGTCCAATGTTTTCCTACGAACGGTGCCGTGGAGACAGTGCGGAACCTTCCCATCTTCTTCTCTAGAATACGATTTGGGTACACTTCCCTGTGATAAGACGAGGAAGAGAAAGTAAGTCCAGAAGCCATGAATTAATCTTCATTGACAAGAATTTTTATGATCCTTGGCTAGATTTGACCAGGATTACATATTTTATCATAAGACCTTATCAAAACTCATTTTTCTTTCCTGGAATCATAATAATTTTATACTAATGACATCTCTTAATAGTTAATAGAGAAGTAAGTAACAGAAAGATTAATGTAAATATCCTCAGAGTGATTCTTACCAAGGTGACATAATCATCTTACCGTGTGCTAGTTAAAATAACGTAAAAGTTGAGATGCAGGATGTTAGGGTGCAAGGATTCCAGCTCGATATCTGCACTTGTGTTGTGGGAGACCAGCAAGGTTACATCATACTCATCTGACACTCTCTGGTCATTGCCATCCTTGTAGTGCACCCGACAGGTCTTGGTGTGGACCAGAATGAACTCCGTATATTGCTGTAAAGAATATAGAATAACTTTAACCTGAGTAAGTTATTCTCTAATGCATAAATATCATTTAATATTGTTTTATATTTTACAACAGAGAACAATAAGTGTTCAATGGCTATCAATCTAATTGTTAAAAGTAATTAGAGAAATTACTAAGAAAAACAAATAGAACTGCTAAATGACACTACACATTAAGGGGTAAGAGAACTAATTTCATATTGAAGCAAAGGTCACTATTTAACGAAACAAAACATAACTTGTGATGTCTCCACAGCATACAACTGAGCCTGAAGTTCTCAGATAAGAATAAGACTCTCAGCATCAGGCCTGGCAGATGCTGTGAGGGCTTTAGATCACCTTCAGCCAAATATCATGAATTTTTAATAACAAATCAGATCAAGGAGCCTCCAAGGCTTAAATATCTCAAATAACTGTAAAAGGCTTCATCTTAACACAACCAGTTTACACTACAAAGGCCACTGATCATGAGGCCTTGAATATTTGGCGGCCTTTCAGGGATGAGGTTGTGACATGAAAGAGGACTTGGTGAGTGTAATACTGTTCTCCAGTTTCCTATCTCTGAACTTGGTAAATAAACTGGGATTTTGTGTATACTGTCTATACATTATTCACAAGGCCATTTATTTAACCAATATAGCAGCTTACAATTATAGAGAATCAGTAACTCAATGAGAAAGATTGACAAGACTGTATCATTACCATCAGAGCATCAGGGTCGTGGATAACTGGAGTCATACGCAATACTCTCATTCTGTACTGTTTCTCACGAGCTAGAAGATAGTTATACAGCTGCTCTCCTGGGGTTCCTGTGTCTTCTATAGTTAACTTCCCTGTACGTAACATACAATATTTATTAAAACATTTCAATAAGAGTTGTGAATATATATTTTTTTCATTAACAGTATTTGTGAATTACCTTAAGGGAGAACTTTAGTATAATTGGCTATTATAACAGTTATCATCCTATAATTCTACATTTAAAGACATAATTATATTTGTATTACAGACAGAATTTCTGTATATGTGTCAGGTACAGTGAAACCTCGATATAATGGACCGACTCCTCCATAGTGTCTGTCTGTTAGATAGAGGTTTAATATCTAACAGACCCTCAATATAACGAACATTCCTCTCCACATACTGTAGTGTGCTAATAGAGGGTTTACTGTTTCGGTTATTTATATCACCAAACTCCGGGTTTATCACCAGACAAAATATACCTAAACCTGTCACCAATAATGTTGACTTTACCTTGCTGTTAGCGTCTTAGTGTATTACTTCACTACTTTAACTCATCAAAACTACATCCTCGTGTTACCTATACATCAAATAAAATACAATAGATACCTTATCACCTCCAGCATCATCTACTTAAAGGAAGGAGAGTTACCGGGACATTAACGAGTAAAGGTTAAATTATTGTGGTGAATGGATGCAGGAGTGACTACAAATAAATATAGGTGAGTAAGGTATTAGAATGACTATCTATGAACTGATGGTCAATAAGGTACAGATATTGGTTCAAAAAAGGAACTCAAAGGTGGAGGAACAAAGTTGATATTTCTAATTTCTGGATTGTCTATTTTTAGTCAGTTCTCAAATTCTTGTATATCTGGCAGTGTGTTAGTAATGGTCGCTGCCACTGAATCTCCTCGCTATATGCATGCTTCTTGACCCACACGCATACACACTTACAACCATATTTATCTCTTTATCACTGTACAACTGCATTATGGTTCACAAACTTATTCAGTAATCATTAAAAAAAATCAAATGTGATGTAAATGTAAAAAAAAAATAGAAAATCAACAAAATAACATAAGGATAAATGGTAAATCTAGAATCCGGCCCAAAATAAACATTACCTGTATGAATAAGATTTCTAGCAAAGTTTGGTCCCTTGTTGTAGTACTTGATGAAGTCAGAGAGGCACGACGAGAGGTGGTAGCCGGGGGTGAACAGAAGCTGACGACCGGCAACGTAAGCACACAGAGCTCGCAGGTGGAAGTCGTACGTGAAAGAATGCATGTGTAGTAATACCTTGATGTCATCTACCTTATCCAGGAAGGAATTGATGGCGAACTATAAAAAAAAAATACCAGAGGAAGAAAAAAGTAGGTATTAGTTCTCAATCTCTATTCACATCCAACTTATCTCTCAAGCCGTCACAGTCAATCTATCTTTTGCAGACTCTTTTAGGATGTATTGTAATTTATTTTGTTCTGACATTTTCATTCATTCCTTCTAAAGTCTCTTCACTTGAATGTTTATGATTGGATGCATATTTATAAGGGATAGTGGAGAGGAAGAAGAGGAGGAACAAGAAGAGAGAGGATAGGGGCAAGAAGTGGAAGAGAGGAGGAGGAAGAAGAGAGGAGAGGGGAAGAAGAAGAAAAGAGAGGAGTAGGAGAAGTAGAAGAGAGAGGAGAGGGAAAAGAAGTGGTTGGGGAAAGAAGAAGACTGGGGAAAGAAGAAGAGACTGGGGAAAGAAGAAGAAGAAGAGACTGGGGAAAGAAGAAGAAGAAGAGGCTGGGGAAAGAAGAAGAAGAAGAGACTGGGGAAAGAAGAAGAAGAAGAGACTGGGGAAAGAAGAAGAAGAAGAGACTGGGGAAAGAAGAAGAAGAAGAGACTGGGGAAAGAAGAAGAAGAAGAGACTGGGAAAAAAAAACAGAAGTGCATCTCCAGTAAACAGCTCAGATAACCAAGAATCATTAAAATTTATACAAGTGTAGCAGTTCCACAAAGTCCTGCACTTAGGGGAAAAAAAAAGCAAAATTATCACTTAAAATAAACCACAAACTTCCCAAAACAGACTTAATCAACACCAATACCAAACAAAGCTTTCTCAGGAGTGATCAGGATTATGACGCGTTTATTTACAGGCGTCGGATTATGTTAGTTTGTTTTTTATATCTACAAGTGACACCGATTTCAAGTTCCGCTAATGTGTATTTTTAACCCTTTCATCGTGGTGTCTTTAAAGTGCTCTAAACTGCCATCAAGGATCTGGTAATTCGTGACAAATTTTTCAATCCTCGCATATGCTATATCTTGAGCCATTACACCTTTATTAACATGTACAAGGACTTTATTAATTGATTGAGTATCTAGGCATATTTATCTAAACGTTACTAAAAGTGTTAAGTTAATCTTATGACATATATTGGGGTGACTTTGGCCAAACAAATGCGCATGAGGCGGTACGCTCTTTGGACATAATACACAATGAAAGGGTCAAGTATAATCCCAAAACCAAAATCATATATAATAACCTAATATAGTACAGGAAGTATAGTACAGTATATCCCCAATCACCACAAACATCAATATATATGGTACCTCATAAGCTGGTTTATTTATAACATGGGAGACTTTCAAAATATCACATATGTTCCCTTTGTTCATACATAAATCAACTTGTTTGAAGGCAAGAGCTAAAACAGCACCCATAAACACATCATTTCACATATTGTACCATTATCCACTAAGGAAATAAGTCACAAAAACAAAGAATGCAACTTACAGTCTTATTATCAACTGATCTAAGGCCAATTTTAAGCATATGTGAGAGTAAACACAGGTGAAAATACTGTGTTCCTCACCTGCTATACTGAACCAATATCCTAACTAACAATTTACCCCAGCCTGGAGGGAACACAAGGGGGGAGGGTCAGTGAAGTATCAAGATAAACAACTGTCCTGTCCTGTACATAGTCCTTTATATGGATATGTTCTTAAGCATGGATAAGCCTGAATTATTTTGGCTTAGAGTAGAGGAGAAGTAAGCCACATGCTTTGAAGTGATCAATGGAGGAGGAGCCTTCAGTTCTTAAATTCTCCCAAACTAAATACTGTAACCTCATTCAATTTAATCTATTTTAAGTCTGAAAATCTCCACTGTAAATACTAGAGTCTTGAAGTATTTTACCTGAGTATCAAGCTGAACATTTTTAAGTCTTATAACCATATGAGCTGTAGTGGTTAGCAAGGTCATCCATGCTGGCCTAGTTAGCCCAGTGACTTTACTGAACCATACTTATATTTATCACCATGACAAAATTATTCACAAAATTAGTACAAACTTTATACCCCCACACAAACAAACACCAGACAACTCTTAATATAATACAAATGCATACTCTATATACCTTCTGTTGTTTTAAGCTCACAACATATCACATGAAACTGTAAGAAAAAATATCATTAAAAATTTGTCTATGTACTCACAAAGGATATGGGTACTCATCATTCAACTGGCATCTACACACAATGACTGTCACAATATTTGGGATTTCATATTTCCAGGAGTTGCCCAGCTAGTGGCAGAGGGGAGGTATAAATAAAAGGTGGGGAGGTGGGGTGGTGTGGGGAGGTGGGGTGGTGTGAAGAGGTGGGGTGGTGTGGGGAGGTGGAGTGGGGGGCGGTGGAGGGAGACGCTGCTTCATGTCAAGAGCCATTGATAATTGGTTTGACATCCCCAGGTAAAAACTTAATGCATTTCCATACTCATCCCATATAAGTCCCTTGAATTCTATCTTGCTTTTAAATATTAAACCCAAAACTTAACTTGATTAACAAAGCAAAGTGTCCACCAAACTTAGTGAAGAAGTTGTATAAGTTTCAAGCGTGACACGAAAAGAAGGCTTCAAGCAAATATCCAAACACAGACTGGTGTGAGATGTAAGAGAGGAATAAATGAGCTGCACCTCTCAGTTTGCTAACTTGTAACTTATGATCAAGACAGTTCAACAGTGGCGGACTGGCCCACCGGGATACCGGGAAATTTCCCGGTGGGCCCCAAAGTGATGGTCCATCACTTTGGAAATAACGGAAAAAAGAAAAAAGAGATATGAGGTTTATGAGATATTAACTCAATCCGCCCTAATGCTACCGAATGTGACATTACTAGGCCGTACCAATGAGCCCGAATGCGACCTGAAACTTTTGAGTGGGTCCTTTTACAAGTTTCCCGGTAGAAATTTTTGACCCAGTCCGCCACTGCAGTTCAAAGCTTAGGGGTTTTGAGCTTTATCCAATGAACTGATGATCCTGAGACACTTATGTCATCTATATCTAAATCTCTGTCCTTAAAGTCTGCCTGGATCAGAGTCACCCACACTGCTGTCACACTAATCTGATGGTTCAACAGTTTGTGCCATCCTGTGAAGCTCTGACAGTCTCACATAACATAACCAATATCCCACACCACACATTAAAATACAAGACAAATACTTATAGAAAATTCTGCACTTATTCCTTCACATACTAAAGATCATTCCATTAAAAAATCCGCTTCACATTATAATTACCAGTACATACGCTTACAACTGTACATTATATACAGTACAATATTTTCAGTAAAAATTTGTCCATAAAACAGACAAATATACATATGTAAATTCACATTTATATAAAAAATCATCCACACAATATTCTATCTTATGATCCTTACTCTTCTGAACAGGTGGTGGTAACACATAACACCACATTAAGTAAACATTATTACTATACACTATTTAGAAATTCCCGGTACACCAAACAAACTTAATTCTAACACCACCTTTCAAGCTGTTAGTTCTTCCCCAAATTCAAGTTACAAAGCAATATACACAAAACAAAAGTCAATAGAGTATTCATATATTTACACACAAAATAAGTCAATAATCGTTAACAGTAAAAATAAATACAAAATCTAACAAAAGAACACAAGAAATGGACTTTAATCCCAGTGTTTTGATATGATTTTGAAGATAACATTTTGTCCCTTGTACTATGATTGTTAACTATAAGAACTGTACCTGTACTGTAGACTTATCCAACAGTTTGATTATACTGTACATATACAGTAACTGCATAATGTAATTCTCATATAAACACAACATAACCATATTTTGCCTTCAGGTCTAACTATGAGGGTCACACAAATGTATTTTCTCTAGTGATTGTAACTTCATTTTTATCAAACCATCATCATCATCATTTTTATTAAACCATAAAAATCAAATCAAATCCTCTTCCTATACTGACACACAGCCATTGTTAATTTACTCTGAAATGAAATCTAGATTATGAAATACCAGTCAGTTATACCTCTTCACTAATATATACAGTAATTGGTTAATAAACATATGGTAAGTTACCGTAACATTGTTGGATATTAAAAATGAGGGCGGGTGGGGTGAGGGCGAGTGGGGAAGGGCAGTGGAGGGTGAGAGGGGGTTGATTGGTAATACTGTACCTTGTAAGTTAGCGCGCACGCACGCACGCACGCACGCACGCACGCACGCACGCACGCACGCACGCACGCACACACACACACACACACACACACACACACACACACACACACATATATCACAGTTCATTTGTGCTAAACTAATCAGGGAACTTGTTTTTGTATCTTGGATATTATCATGGGCAATGGCAGACCAACAAGGCCAATGAAACCATTCACCAAGTTGTGGACATTTTCACCTGTAGTTAACTGAGAATGTTTAGGCTGTGATGACAGCATTATAGTTCCTCATCTCAAATGTTAATTATAAACTGATTTTTCAATTTTAATACAGTACAATGAACTCTATTTGCAACATGTAAATATAAAACCAGTTAGATACTATATCACAGTTCATTTGTGCTAAACTAATCAGGGAACTTGTTTTTGTATCTTGGATATTATCATGGGCAATGGCAGACCAACAAGGCCAATGAAACCATTCACCAAGTTGTGGACATTTTCACCTGTAGTTAACTGAGAATGTTTAGGCTGTGATGACAGCATTATAGTTCCTCATCTCAAATGTTAATTATAAACTGATTTTTCAATTTTAATACAGTACAATGAACTCTATTTGCAACATGTAAATATAAAACCAGTTAGATACTTTCTATGTCTTTTATAATGAGGAATATTCACCAAGGAAACTCTGTGATGTTCAGTTCTTAGATGACACAGACTACAAGAGCCAATGAGTGACAGCAGACCACTGGACACATACTGTATTACCCCTGTGGTTATTTCTGTGAGTTTAACAGCATCCAGTACCACAGATTCTGCAATGATCTGAAAGTAACTCTGTGTTCTTCCTTAAGGTCAATATCCATGAGAACAACAGTCAGCTATATTGTAACAGCAACTGGGACTCATTACTGGGATATGGCAGGACTTACTGTAGTTACCAATATAATCCGAGTTAAAAATTTTCCTCCCAGCACCCACAGTTTGCAAAGACTGAATATCAGATACAACTAGCACTTTACGTTCTATTGTACTTGCCGGAGTAACGACGCGTGGTCTGGTAATATGATACATTTTTATACAACAGAAGGATACGGATTATTGAGAAAGTTAGTTCAAGACCCAGCTGAACATATTAAACTTATATGAAGAAAAGCCATTATCACAGTACGTTTGGCACCATGATGATAAACATTCAACAACATATGACTCAAAACAATAAAAATTTGTACAAAACTTCACAACAAATAAATTTTCCTCTAAGACAATATTTCAAGAATCACATAGATATTTATAGATTATCTGAGAGCAAGGTTAGTAGATGGTACAAGCAGCAGTAAGCAGAGCCCAGCCGTAGAAATGGTAGATGGCGTGAGTAGCAAAGAGTTAGGCGTGACATTGCTTACTTTGTCATCTATCTGGTCAGGAGGACAGCCCTCAGGAAAGATAGATGGTGCAGGAGAGTGTGGTGAGGGCGGCATGGATGATGGCGGCCCTCCTACCACAACCTTTGACACTTCTTCAATCTTGGTACAGAGAGAACACATCTATAACCTTTACCTTAATGTAAAACTTTACATTAGAAGGGAATATTCTTGTTTAAAATATTACTTTATTCAAACTTTTAACTACAATTAACAATTACTTTATGATGATTAACTAACTTTTTACAATTAAAGATGACAGACATTTGGACACATTGCACTACAGGGTTAATAATAGTCACTACAACTGCAGGAGAAACAAGTGAAAGTGTGCACAAAATGCTGTAAGACATAGACACAGAGTTTGTATTAGTTTAAAGACAACTACATGTTTATGGTCACCAGGAATGACTTAATAAATAACATTGAGTCAATTATCAACTACAAGAACCAGTGAGTTTTGTAAGTGCCCACAAACCATGAGGCATTGATTCTGAAATTCATTATATGACTAAACCTGGATGGATTGACTTGTGAATATGCCAGCTAAGGCTTCAGGGTCAGGCACCCAGGGAATCTCTAACCATAGACCTTGACTGAGAAACCATGAGTGTCAATCAGGAATGGGAGCTAATGAGTTGTGAGGTTGAACAAGAAATAACCTAACCAACCCTGCTTTAAAATAACAAAACCTAACCTAAAACTTAATCAAACCTGCTTGACAAAAACCTACCCTAACCTAATTAAATCTTCCTAACAAAAACCGAGCCTAACGTAACGAAATCTGCTTTGCCAAAATCTATCCTAACCTAACCTGCTCGACAAAAACTGGGTTTATCTGAATTGAAGGAGGATGCTAATTAGTGACTACTACAACAAATTCACAATGATGATAGTGTCACCATTATTTTCACTAACAGAAGGATGCCACATAAATCACTGTGAAACTAAACAATCACTTGTGTTATATATCAAATGATACTGTACCATACATATAAAGATAACATTTGCAATCACCCCAAAGAGGAGTTAGGCATGAAGAAATAAATACGAATAAAATAAATAAATAAAATAATATCAACTACAAAACAAAATAAGAAAAATATGAGTAAAATTCTAATGATAAAAAGGTGTACTGAAGACCCAATACTGAATAAGTATCTCATAAGGCTGAATAAACACAATTTTCTATTATATGCTCAGAAGTCCTACTGTGATATATTCTACTTATGAAAAATTTGGATGTAGCTGAAAAATACTGAATGAATCAACATATATAATACAGACATCTTACACTTAACTGTATCATTATAATATTGATAGGAATATTCAGTTAAGTTCAAGACATAACCATTGAAATATAATACAAATCTTAGGAGACCACTTGTGAGTTCTTGAGATTTAGAAATGGATATTGTACCAGCAACCAACAACTGCCTTCCATCCAGAGCAAAAATTAGTTTACTTTATTCATTCTGACTAGTTTATCCCTGCGACCTTACAAGTATGAAATGGGGTGACTCATTCATTTAATATATGTATATAATGCATGCATGAACTATGTACACCCGCCTCAACCTTATGGGAAAACTTGTTACTCAAATTATGCATATCAGAGCCCTTCACCCCCCTCTCCTATAGATAAATGGCTATACTTTACAGGATGCTGAAAAATGTTATTATGAACAATAAAAATCATAATTAATTACCATACAAGTTTAGATAATTATTTTACTGATACTTCAAGTCCTCATTAATGCATTGTATCATCACATGCACAACATAACTTTATATAATTATTTAATCATCTGGTCAAATGAAGACTTACTAATACTGCAAATAATAAAATTAATAATAAATTAATAAAATAATATCATGCTCAATAAGATGAATACAGAGGAAATGTTACATCGATATAAACGTTCATAAACAAAAGAGAGATGTCAACTTGCAAGAAGTTTAAATACAGTAGTGCATAAAAGGGATTAATTAAACTTATAGACTCATGCTTCACTACTCCACTGCCATAATAAGACCTTCATGATACCTATAATACCTGCAACAGCTCTGAAAATGGTCCCTTGAATAATTAAAAAAAACAGAAAATATGCATACAAAAATATAATACCTGTATTAAATAACTAGTACATAAAACTTGAAAGAAAAATAAAGATTAAAAATAGATATAAAGTGAGATATAAAAAATCCAATAAAGATTCAGAATAAAAAATAAGACTCTTGAGGGATAATGAAACTGGCTCCTGTAGGACGTTCAATTCATATCTCCTACAACACTGTATTCAACCTCTCAGTGTAAGCTATACTGAAAAAGAACCACAGTAGAAAACATATACTGTTCTTTCACAACACTTGAAGCCTTGAAACATCTGACCAAACTCAAGCAATCACAGATATACTAAACATTCAGACAATTCACTAACTTAACAAGGCTCACAAAGAGGCGAGTTTGGTACACATCATATCAATATTCCTACAAAACACCAAAAGAGGCATTTTGTAAGACTAACTGGTTTAATTTGATTCATTTGGGGCAGTTAGGTCTCACACTGATTCTCAAAATTCACAAGAGAAATGCTCAAGAAATTTCTATGTACAGTCGGGGACAAAAGTTCACTCCCCGCAGTGAAACTGAGTAACGGGAATGAGTGTCCGAACTGACTTACCCTGACTGTTTCATCTCATTTGGGATCAATGCTGCTTCATTTTGGGCGGGAGCAAACTTTTGAATCCGACTTTACATTATAACACATTTGGTTTTTTCCTAAATTTTTCAGTTACACGGAATGGTAAAGATTGCAGCCACAAGTCAAAGAGGACAAACCTAAAGCTACACATTATTAGCTATAAATATACTGTACCCTGTGGAAAAGCCCTGAGAAATTAAGACACAAAACCTTATTCCAAATATTCTCAGCACAGAATATCACTTTTCCTCGTAAGTTATGGTAAATATAGATAGACATCGTTCATTCACTCTTCTACGTTGTTCTGCCATCCACTAACTGACATAATATAAGGCAGGAGGTATAGCACTTAACCCCATACAACTATTGCAATAATTTACATGTATATTCTCTCAGTCATTAAACTACATATATACACACACACTGCAAATAATAATCTTAAAAACTACATAATAAACATTGAGAAACAGTAAACAATAATATTTTGTAAACATAAACTGAATGATACTTTGCTACAAATAAACACACTTTGTAGTTACGTATATAAAATTATTTACTGTTTACAAAATTGATGCAGGTTTACATTATTCTGTACTTGGGAAGAATGAAGTTGTGTCAGAGAAGGACAGGGTCAAAAAGTTCTCTCAGTCTATCAGTCAGGGCGGGTGTTCATAGAGTCGGCTGATGCAACTTAAAAGAATGGGAAGTTAATACAGTACTCGAATGCTTTGATCAGTAGTAAAAGGATGATATTCAGTATTTATACATATCAATCAAGCTGACACTCTATCTATCTATCAAAAAACTTGTAAAGAAAACCTAACATTCCAATGAGATGTTTGTTCAGTAACACAGAAAGTTTCACATCTGAATTGAAATAAGACAATCTCAAACAACAACAATCTTATAATCAAAATTGTCTTCATTTCTCTTGAACTGTGACGGACATGTTCTCAATCTGTGACTGAAGGCTGAAACAAACACATGAACAGCCATTTCATTATACAAAAAGAATCTTAAACATACAGAGATTATCCAGGTAATATATTCTTCCTCCTATGAAGTATTACAGGTCAGAGTAAGATGTGCAAGAGTGACAACATTTTACATCAGATTAAGGAATACAGAGATTAAATACATTCAAAATAGATTAAAAAAGATATATTAAATTCAGATAATTTTACATCAGATAAACGTACACAGGACGACTCTAACATACTTTTAGAATAGATTAAATTTTGCTGTTAAATCAAATAAAAACATAAAATTTGATCTTATATTTTTCATGTGACCTCAAGTGTCTTCATGACCTGTAAGATCCATCAGCAAATTTTTAATCTATTATTGGGGAACTGAACTGATCTGTATAGCCATAATCAGATCCAACCCTAGGAAGGTACCGCATGGAAATATAAAACGCTCATTCCTTCACCTAGAATACATGATCCAGTTATTTACAGATCCTTCTTGTTCACTTACTAGCATTTATATTTTTACTACTATCCTGAAAATACAAAACAATCGTATGGAGCTTTAAATTATATACACACAGGAGGTTATTTTTCCCTACAAAAACAAGAGTTAGTTATGGATATTCCTGTTCTGTCTGTTTCTGTAGTTTTTTCCCCTAGTTCCTGTAACCAATGAGAGGAATAAAGGATAGATCTCTGGGTTTACAGCATGGTAGCTATTTTTGGGGTAGGTTCATAGTGTGGACGATGGTTATAAAGCTTTTGTTCTTTGGTCTAGTCTATGGAGCTACTTCAAACAGGGATCCAATCAACCTGGTTTACAATGACAACACTCTAATGTCACGCTGGTTGGATGGCTTTACAAGTATACAGAGGAACTGACAGTAACTATACTAGCTGTAAAGATGATGTGAAAGACGCCCTTCAACTGTCTTTTAAAGAATCTTATGTTAGTCTGTGAAAGATTTCCTCACAGGTCTCGATGTCGTGCCTACAACTAGATCTAACAAGTTTCAAAAACCTGATTAAAAGTAGGGGATATAATAAAAAATTACTGAACAGACAATAAAAATTTTAAAATTATATATTTGTACCCATTTATCTACACAATAAATATCTTCTTACAAACCAGCAAATGTTTACTGCAAAAAAGTTAAGAATACCGACTAGGGGAAACTGATCCCTAATGCATGGTGATACATTCTCATTAATAAGAGATACCCATCCCACCATGAGGAGTCAGCAGGAGGTATCAATTCTGTGTCTGGTCACTGGAGGGTTAGTTGATGTGAGTGGATCTGCTGGTGTGTCCTCACTACCCTATTTACCAAAACAATTTCCAATAAATCCTGTTTGTCTCACTGAATTACATCAAGGAACTCAATACATAAGGAATAAATCATGAAAGATACAATACTTACTGGTGCATAAATAAATACTTACAAAATAAATACTGTAGTTATATCACAGACCATCAAAATACAGAAACAGAAGATGTGTAATCCTCGCCTGGCACTGTATCTGCCACCATGAGACGTACAGCACTGCTACAATAATCTACATTAAAACTAAAAACACCATTACCTTACATCCTGACTCAAATGTTTACAGAACTGAGGATAAACACTTACCTGAGAAAACAGTTTCTTTCCCTCTAATCTACACGACTCCAATATGTATAACTGTGGGGTGAAAAATTAAAAACAAACCATTAAAACATAACCCAAGATTCATAGTGTTAAGGAATGATTTACTAACTGCTTAGAAAAAGTCATCAAGATCTTGTTATAATTTTGGTGTATAATACATTAATTGCTATATTCATAATGCCCTTCTATAATAAGCTTTTACACTGGGTAGAAATAGCTTGTCCAGTAAAGTACAAATATGTTTAGTCTGTCACATTTGGTTAATAAATGCGATAATTACATAACACTTTATGCAATTAATAGGTTTATATGCACTGTACTACACATACAAGAAAGAGCACATCATGATACATACTTTAGCAGAGAAATAAGGCTCTGAGAAGATTATTTCCAAGAGAATTGTGCCACCCAGAACATTCTTCAGTAGATAGGTGGGTTCTTTAGTGACCTGCTCACTGAAACGGACTTCCTTCACACGGAACCCTCTGTTGTCTGGCTCTCGGCTAATGCTGCGTCTAGATATCAAGGACATGCTTAATTTTTGCCTTGACAATAATACTTATTTGAATTAAGTAATGGATAGAATAATGGTCACCTACATATGGGTTATTATGGCGAAATTACTGTTACTTATTGTTGTATTAATGAGGTTGGAGGGGCACACTTGGCTCAGGAACAGGGGGTTGGGAGCACTTAGTCCACCACACAACTGCCCTGTATCCCAGAAACAAATCACTTACTACATTTTTCTTATTTTATAGTTTTATATTACAGTTGTACCCCGCTTAACGCGGTTTCACTTAACGCGATTTCTCATATACGCGGTGCCTCGCCAGAACCGAACTTTCACTTAACGCGGTTCATCTACTCATGTACGCGGGAAGCGGCGAGGGCACGATGCGCACAAGGTCGCCCAGTCATCAAAACATTACCGAGTTCTTCACCCGCCACCCACCACAGCCGGCCCAAGTCAGTGATAGTGATAATTATAGTGAGGATATGGACTTATATGGACTTTGAGGGGTTTGACAAAGAGGCCCTGCAAGCCTCTGTGGTGGATAGTGATACAATTGATACAAGTGATACAGGTGAGGGCCAATAATCTGCCCTCTGCCTCGGAACCAACCCCCATCCCCGTGTGCCCAGCCATCTTTTCTACTAATGTAAGTGTTAAAAAACCTAATATTATTGATATTTCTCTTAATTATTAATTGTGTGTGCATACCATCATAAAGTTAAGATAATATTTTTACTACAACATAGTTGTGTGTCGTCAAAAAGTGGAGTTTGGGGGTCGGGCCAGTCTCTATTGGAATTAATCCCATATGTTCTGTTGTTCACTTAACGCGGTTTTCACTTAACGTGGTACCCTGTGGGTTCAATTGACCGCGTTAAGCGGGTTACAACTGTATATTTTCTTTATTTCTAAGTCAAATTAGAGCATCTCTTATGTTTTTTATGTTAAGAAACACTGCAGCAGCCGGCGCTCAACTACAAAATATGAATGTTTGACCACAATATTAAAAAAAGAGGCAGTAATAGAGGTGCAGTACCCAAGAATTATCACAGCTCCATTGTACAACATAATACAACAAGTCATGAAGTAAATACAGTCCAGGTAAAATGGTCATCAACCTACCCTCGTTGTTGAGGTGCCTGTGTGACGTTAAGTGATAGAAAACCTAGACTTTGCAAATACTGGATGTACTCCTTCAGGTAGCTGGAACAGAGTGCATCGTGCCACTTCTCGTCCCCGCCAGTGACGTGCCGCCGACGCTGGCTAGGACTCGGCACACTAGGCTTGAACGACAGCGAGCGCCGCAAGTCAGTGGGACCGCTACAACTGAGGCCTATTATAGAGCTGCCAGAGTCATGACGGGATCTCTGTGGAAAAAATTCTTGCTATATAACTTTCATTTCAAACTTTGTTACAGTTTGAACTAATTTTGTCTAAATTGATAATCTCATATATTAAGGAATGTTTTATCTGTTAATTTTATGTAAATCTTTGTTTAATAAATCCTGAATAAAATTTTTTTAATGGGGAGAAATTGTTGGTGATCATTAGGTTGTCATACAGGTTGGTTAATTACTCAGTCATTTATGTTCTCTCATATAGGGTTAAACAACTGAAGCTGGTCAAATGTTACTGGTGTCTATCATTCATGTGGTGTTGTATGACTTAACTAATATAAAACTACACATACAAACATTCCCCATGACACATTATTCGGGTACTTTCCAGTAATTTTCTTAGTAACAATATAACTCACAGGTTCAGGAGTCTTTAAGCCAAATAATGTGGTCTTGTCTATAGGTGGCTGAGTGTCTGCCAGGCTGTGGTCTCTGGCAGCAGATACCTGCCACCTCCACCTGTCGGAATGACGATGTTCTAATTAAAATAAACCCCAAAACCACAAGGTACACAAAACTACACTCTGAGAAAGCGACACATTCAAAATAATCCACAAGTAAACGGTGTGATTCTGAACACTGGGGTACAGTTCATGAGAATATGCAACAATATTTTCTAATTGATTTTTACAACAAAATTTATAACTTTAGATCAATGGTAAGTTCAACCAAATGTATATAAGGTATAAATTCAGTATTAACTATACATAACTCACCGAGGTAGGAAGAGAAGAGGTGTGTAGCAGAAGTGGGCTATACGAGCATTCTGTTTATACAAAGCCAAAATCTTATCATTGAAGGCTGGGCTAGAGTGGCCGTGCGTCTGAACCACAGTCTTTAGCAGTACTTTCCGCTGAGCTTCTGGGGAAAATGACAGGATCTTAGCCCCTTGAAGATGATTATGCACTAATCACTGTCTCAGAATAAACCACAATCAAACCTCCCCATACCGGGTTTCTCTCTCCAAATAGTTCGTTAAATGGGGGTTTTATATATACTGGACCCTCGATATAACAGACATTCATCTCTATACAGTTTTATATTTGAGGATTTCACATCTAAAAGACCCACAATTTAATGGAATTTTCTCTTCATATAGTCGGTTATATTGAAATTTCACCGTACAGAAGAATAGATGGAAAAGTCAAAGATAATAACTTCACTTTTTATAACCCAATAGATGTACTACATTTACAGTAATTTATCATCACAAACAACCAAAGGAAATAGAGTACAGTACTGTATATTACAAAATACCTTTCTGCACGATGAGGCGCTTAATTTCCGTCATCTGGCTTCCATGTCGCAGCTCCAAGTCCTTCAAATTCCCATACTGTGAATTTTTTAGTGATCTTGGAGGTCTGTTGTCCCTGTAGATCTCAGTTAGGCTTGGCGCTGGCACCATTCCCTGCAGGTAAAATAAATGTCACTCTATATGTCTGATTTTTATTTAATCTAACAAACTTTACAAAAAAATCTTATACCATCAATAATATATAACCTAACCTAACCTAACCTAATCCCCAGGGAGTGTTAGGGAGTTTAATCATCATGTTATATAAACTAGGGGTGCCTAATCTTCATGTGGTCCTTCAACACCAATAAACTTGACCTTTGACCCTGTGAGCCCAAGAGAAGAACATGCATATCCTCGAATGGAAACAATAATGGGTGGTAGGGATGGTAGGGATAAAGAGGGATAAAGAAGAGCCACCATACCTGTACCCTCCTGGTGCCTCGGTCTGTGATGGTGTGAACCGGTGCCTGAAGCTTTATCAAGCCGTCCACATAGGCCGGGCTGCTGATGTACGGGTTCTTTGCCTTGAATAAAATAAATAAATAAATAAAAATAGTCAATAAATACACCAGTAAATAAACAAATATAAACAAAAGCATAGACATATAAATTAAGACATGATTAACCTCAATACCCCTGTTCTTGATACTCAATACCCCTGTTCTTGATACTCAATACCCCTGTTCTTGATACTCAATACCCCTGTTCTTGATACTCAATACCCCTGTTCTTGATACTCAATACCCCTGTTCTTGATACCCATTATTGACAAAACCCTGATATACCCGTCACTTTGTACAACCAGACCCCAATCAAACCAACAAAATCACTTCCATCTTGTGGAAGGCGACTGAAGAGAAATACACGCAATGACACACCTCTTCCTTCTTATCCGAACTCTTCCTGACAAACGGCTGATTGTGGAACAGCCCCATCTTCTGCAGGACAATGGTGGAGAGGAGACGATTGCGGGCAGTAGACCAGTGGCTGAGATGTGTCATGGTCGAGTGTAGATTATCACATTGTTCTTTAGTCCAGTTGTATGTGTAGATGACGAGCTGTGGACACCAAAAATATATAATGTCTAGCTCCAAGCAAACTGGTTAAATTATATACCAAATAATAATGAACACTAACCTGACCTGACATTAACCTAACCTAACCTACTTATATTTGTCTAGATATACTTAAGAATTTCCAGATACCCAAAAAACAAAAAGATTCCCTATCAAAGTGGGATTATAATGAATGTAAATTGGTGAATATTCAACATATCCATACAAGTCATAGATTTCAGCATGCAATATTATTCTCTTCAGTCTTCCAATACAACAAGTAACATATGAAATACATCTAATGGACACGAGAGAGAATCATCGTCATATAAACTGAAACATGAGAACTGTGGTGTGGGTCATGTTGTGTTCACCTCCACACAACCACAGAAGCAACACCCACACATTATGTACTGTACCATCAAGAGAACACCTTCATTAAACAAATGATTGATTGATTGGCTGATTGATAGTGGTAATTACATCCTTGGCGACGCAACAGCTTAGGTCGTATGTTTCTGAATCAAATCAAACACAAGAATTACAATATGGTAAAGACTTCCGTACCTCTAATCCACATAGTGTAGCCAAGAGGAGCTTCTGGCGAGGGATGAACAACACGTCTGAGGTATCATAAGTCCAGAGTGGTCCAACAGCATTCGACATGCTGGTGGGCGTTGAAGGAACAGTCACGGGGGAGGATATGCTAACGGCCGAGGAGGTCATGCCGCTGATGGTGGGTGCCGATGAGGTAGGTCCGGTTGTTGGCACTGTGTTTGGGGTATTTAATGCACTCATGGTGGTATTACTCTCCAGTCTGGGGTACGTGGCTTCCCCACCACTCACACATCGGCCTCTTGGTGACACGACTAAAGGATGGTATCGCTGACTGTTCTTGCTAGCTGTAAAAATAAAAAATAGACTAAGGTGTGTGCGTGTGAGTAGATTTTTAAGCAGCTATGTAAACATGTGTGTGTATTAATCAGTAGCATTCAAATGAATAAATAGAGAATATCAGAAATATGATGAAAGATACACACTAGACACATGAAATAATAACCTGTATCCACCATAAACAAAAGAGCATATATGTTAAACTATATTACCGAATATGTTGAGATAGAGTGTAATATATTTTAACAATAAAAAATACATAAAGTGAATGATAGATAACGTACATGTGATCATATTTATGTAGTAATCATTGAAATTTTCTTCAAAGAGTGTGGCCCACCATTGCTGGTTGTTGCGACCAATGATGATGAAGTTGCTGTCAACATATCCTCCTTTAGGGTCACACCTAAGCACCTGTGGAACCTGCCATAAACAACACTGTCAAGAATTAATGAATATACAACAGGTAACTCTTTTAATCCAAGAAGGTTTTTTTCATAGAACAATAATAAACTTGAGAGATGAGAAAATATCAATCCCAGTCTGAAATCTTATAATAGTGAGAAATATGTAGAAACTGATGAGTCATGTAGCCATTTTTTTTCAAACACTAGCATAATATATATACTGTAGTATGGATAATTGGAGTTACATTCATTTTGTGCTCTAACAAGACCTTGCTGCCACATAACAGGGTAATTATATCCATCTAAAAGTTTATCCACGTTGCTTCATACATTAATCATTGAGTGTGTACAAAACAGTAGAAATATTCACCAGACCCAAGTTGTTTATGTTTGGCAGAATTAAGTTGTTTAGTCTATACTTAGTACAGTACCCACATGCATCCTTGATTTTTAGATTGTGAACAATATCATTCTGATGTTCAAACCTTCTCTCAGTTCTTCCAATTTATAAACTTTATCTCTGACTATCTACAGCTGCCATATGTAATGTGACTAACACAGGGCCTCATCCATACTCAACCAACCTTGCTTGACTCCACCAACTTGTAGACAGATGATTCACCTTCACTAACGGTCTCTTCAAATATCTTTGTTGAGGTGTCACTAGAATGATGTGACACCCACTTTTGTAGTTCACTTATAAAGATAGGCACTGCATGTCTGCAGAGATAATGCATATCAGCTTATTCACACAAATATAAAGTATCTGTTTTCATCTCTGAAAAAATAAATTAATTTATATATTTAAAGCATGCTTGTGAATGTAAGATTTATATATAAAGTATACCCTGTACAATTAGTTACACATCAGGTGTTTGATGATGATAAATGAGAGTTGGTGTATGGAAGACCTCACAATAGACAGAAGAATAAAATAAAGTACGGTGAAATAGATAAGAGATGGCACAAAATTGTGAAGATACATCACTGTTAATATGTTTATCACAATCAGCTTAGACCACCATGCTGTACACACCAGGATCTAAAACTAACTAAATAAATGGAAACTGACATCAACAAACCCCATACCTGGTAGTGATATGAACAGTGTGTTTTTTAACGGCGTGTTCTCCTCCTTTTTCTCCGAGTTCCCTGCGTACTGCGTGCTCACCCCTCTCGTCCAGCTCCGAGGCGTACTCCAGCCACTCCAGCATTAACCCGTGGAAGATGGGATGAAGAGTATGGCATGTGTTCTCCTGGTATTCCCACGGTTGACTCTGTAGGGGCAGCAGATGTTGGTGCATGGTGTTGAGGGGAAGATGTTTTGTGTGTGCTTGTGAGAAGAAATTTAGCCTAACCCACTGAGTTTCTCCTTCAGTGTGTTTATCTGCTGGTAATCACATTGGTGTATATATGGTTAACATAAAATGCTGGGAAATAGACTGTAAGATGATCTGTCAACAAACTGAGCAGAAATTTAAGCACACTTTACTAAAAACGATTGTCATTCTTTACACCCCAAAAATGAATTGTAATTTATCTCTCTAATTGGCCTTGAGAGTGGTGTGATTTACTCCCTATCATAGAGAGAGTAGCATCATGTAGAAGCTATGGTGTACAGTAGTCAACAGCAGCAGTCAGTGATACACGATGACTCACCTCGTGTGATGAGAGATGACCATCTTCACCGAGTAGTTTGCTGCGCTCCATCCCGAGGTCAACCGAGTGACGTACTTTCAATGGGGAGTGACCCACGTTGGTGGGGACGCCATCACTCTGTCCACAGATATTTGGTACAACTGAATAACCTTATTAAGAAAAACTGGACTGTTCTGTGATATTATAAAAAAGTCAACATAATTCAAGAAACTCCATTTTTATTTGAATCTTAAATGATCATAAGATTTTTCAGTCAAAACCCTGAAGAAAAAGTAGCTTCAGTTTCAAAGTACAGTAATTATATACAGTGGAGTCCTGCTAATGTGCAAGTCATTTTAGTTTTATATTGTACTGTATTTTCTTTATTTTTAAGTCACTTTAGAGGACTGATATGATATTTATATCATATTTTCTTTATTTTTAAGTCAAATTAGAGAAGCTCATCTGTAAATATGAATATTTGACCAATTAATTTAAAACGTGACAGTAATAGAGCTACCCACGAATTAGTATTTTGTTAATTATTGAAATTCTAGTATATTACTCTACACTGTATTACTCATTAGAATAAGAATTTGTTCTGCAGGCTAATAATCCCTACAACCACACAACTGTAGCTAAATAATTACTGTACCTTAACTTTCAATGTACTGTACAGTATATAGTACTGTATATATCCTCTTTATTCATAGAAAACATTCATTCCCTTCACCATCTAACCCCAGCCAGTCATTTTTGGTATAACACAGAAAATGTGCAAAAACCACTACTGTACACTTACTATTGAAGTGTGGAAATTTACTTAAATTTATCTGATAATTACAAAATGTTGTCCAAGACAGTGTTGAAGTGAGAAAGAGGAAAATGACAAGAATAAGAAAGTGAGTACTGTACTGTACTGATACTTGAATGTATAACTTTACACTGAATAAAGTGCATAACCCGTAATAACAGAAGCTGAACCTGTGATTCTTCACTGAACAAAGATCAGATCCTGGAGTAATGGAACTTGAACCAACAACTCTGCTCTGCACAACATAAGTCTGTCTACCAAGTGACTTATACTGTACCAGGTAATCTGTCCCTGCTGCAACACAGTGTTGGACACTACATACAAATAATATGATAGATGATGAATTTACCAGATCCTGAGGAACCTGAAATCTTAATATACAAGAATAATTACACTGAATGTATGAGTACTGGTATATTAACTACTCTAGTTGTACAGTATTAACTTTGTTAACAGCCAAAAGCATTTTTCTTAAAGCTTTAGAGGTTGAAACTGAAGCAGCTTAAAATAGATGGAAAAATTTTAGCTCAAGCACAAAAGAAATACAAAAAACATACTACAAACTTAGATATATATAGTTTACCCCAGTTGTGTTGTCCCAGGGAGACTGTAAGGATGCCCTGCGACCTCGTAACTTCAGGTCAGGCACAGAGTTAGACATGAGGCGCAGTCTTGCCTACAGACAAGCAAACCAGGTTACCTTACACTACATAACTGGTGTTCGCTGCAACACCACCAATATCAGAACGGCTTCAAATATACAGCACACATTAATTCTACCAAAATACACAAAGCATTGCAAGCTGTTATATGTCAGTTATATTGTGTTAAACACTATATACTCTGAAATAACTCGACTAAAATACAGGAATAGTCTTAAGTAAGGGAGATGGTACGTCAAAACTATTAGAGTACTGTACGGGTATATATTTACATACACTTATACATGCACAGTAGCACATAAATATATGCACAGAAATGACTACTTACAGACCAAAACACACACACAGCTGTATCAACATTTACTCTATAATTATTAAAATACTCTGGCAAATACAATTAAACTTTATACACAAGTGTTCATCACTAGTCAGTGTTACAAATAAGAAACTGGTCAAGCTTTGATGTTCACTTTCACAGAGAGGTCAAAGAGCTTAAGGACTTAGTTTTGCCATGTCCACTCCACAATACCCCAGATTCACAAGACAGTTTGATGATATTTTAAACAGATGGAAGTAATAACAAGGCCCATACAGTACATCAAAGGTCTAAGTTTAGTTAAATCAATCAGGATAATTTAAGGACACTTCATATGTAAGGATATGATCACTAAACAATGTGTCATGAATTTAAGGTACCCAATAAATGTTCAAGGTCAAGGCTAGAGCAACTGTGTCCTATGGATATATTCACCCAATCACCACCATTTCACTTCCTTTTAACTCCCTCCATTACTGTGCTATGAAGCCTCACATCAACACTATATATAGGTTTAAGTTTGTGTTATTAAGGATTTATATTTGTGTTCAGCAAGTACAGTACATATCATCCACATTTATTGATATTAATTGTGTTGTTATTACCAGTTAAATGAGTACTGAAGACCTGGTTTATATGGATTAGTGGCAAGTTGAGTGAAAAAGTGAAAGTGGGTCCTATAGGCATTGTACACTTAGCCTTCGGTAGACAAGGAGGCAACCTGGCCAGTACTGCATTCACTTCCCTCAGTTGTAACCTTAGATACCCACTTACAGCCTCACGGAACGGTCGGCCACCACTGTATCCGCTCGACCGCCACATTCACCAAGTTGACTAAGTATATTTAAAATAATGTAACTTAGAAATTCCTCATAAATCATCCCTCACAGTGTAGGTAATGTCACTCATTATTTCCCCACGTTCTGAGACTCAGTTTTATCAAATAATCTTGGCATTTTCTGTTATTCAAACTAATCCTCAAGCTTAGTGAAAGACCACTTATTCTAAATAAAATCCACTTGTTTTTCACCACTTGTGTATGGGTTCCTCTTTCTACTGAATAAAATCGTCTGGCATTAGCCAAATAAAATATTAAAAGTGACATCCCCATGATGAAGGGGTTAATGTCATAAATTTATCACTTATTCTTTAAGGTTCCAAACTATAGACAGTTATTATTCAGTCTTTCTTGCCTTTCCCACTACATGACATGGTGGCCAGAACCATAGACAAACATAACTCTCTCTTCATCATCCTCCATTCACTATTAGTGCTGTAATGTCCCTATATATCACTCAGTGTCATATTCACTTATCATTCACATACTCTGCTGCTTCCTGCCAGTATCTTCAAAAACTACAAAAGTCATATAACAGCTGAATGTGTTTATAATACCAAATAATATTTAACTTTCACATGTACAGTTGCAAACAAAAGTACTGTCACTTCTTCTGCTGCTTTACAAACCCAGAGATTCAGACTCATGAGTCCGAAGCATTTATGGAGAGAATAATATATTAGTCTACTGCTTTGGGTTCACGAGTCTGAATCTCTGGGTTTGTGAAGCAGCAAAAGAGGCGATAGAACTTTTGCTCGCGACAGTACAATCGTATGTACAATATTCTGATTAACATAAATCATTCTGATATTGGTTATTCTTGCAAAAAGCCAATGTTATTCTCACATTTTCACTAACTCTTGGCTCGTTCGTTCTGTAAACAGTCCACTCACTGTGACATCCAGAGTAAATTTATACATTACACGTATTCCATCACCATCTGCCTTATGCAATTGTTTCTAAATTGGAATTAATGAGAACATGAGCGAATACAAAATGACCAACGACAAAAAAAGAACAGATATATATATATTTTTTTCAGATGATAGAAATGAACTACTGACAGGAAATAGCCAAAACTAACTTAACCTAACTAATACTAACCAAGGAATATTAAATTATGAGTTAGGTTAGGTTAGGTTTAGGTTGTCTGGTTACAAAAATAAGTAAGTACCATAGTTTATTGAGCCTGTTCATAGCATTTATTTTACCAGTGGCCATCTTGCCGAGATAACAAGACACAAACAGATTAAAAAAATCTATTGGTACTTAATTACAAAAGTTAAAAAAAGAAAAAAAAAGGAAAACATTACAGAACAAATAACTTGAATTAGTTTTAACAGTATTAAGTCTCTATAAAACTCATGCACTTAGTAATATAGTAGTACAGTCTTTAGAATCTGAGTTAGTTCTAAAAATATTACAGGTTAAAGTACATTAAGTGAATATTCAAGATGCTCTAGATTAGTAAATAAAACATACAAAATACCCATCACGCACCCTCTACCCCTCATACACCTTATACCCATCCTGATATACTAAAGATTATCTCATCCACTCATGAAATACCTATTACACACAAACACACACAAAGTAAAATTCTCATCACTCTCACTTTCAAAGTATGTAACATCGCTCGCAGTAGTTAAGGTGACACACAACAACGATAGAACAGTGTCCTAACATCTAACATCATTGATAACTATGCCACGACTCTTCTTGATAATATGCCTTCAGTACAGTATATCCAGTACAGGTTTTCCAACGCTTCAGTGACACAGTTCAATATTCTTTACAGACACTCCCTCTGTTTAACTCCACCACTTTTAACTTCCAGCACAGATTGTTGCATCTCCAGACTTCTACTTCTACTTTTTCATAAACTCGTTCTAAACACCTTAGGTTAGCTAAAGCTAACACAATTTGTGCCATTTTTCATAATCTGTGGAGTGGTAATACCCAGCCAGGTAATGGATAGGGATCATGTAACTAAAAAAAAAAGGTTCCGAGACAAAATATATAATGCAAGACAGTGGGTGAGAATATTAAATGCGTCACACTGTTGTAGGGGAGGAAGAGGTTTATGAGCAACTAATATCTTTCAGTACACTGGTTAGCATCAAGGTAATATAATGGACTTAAAGGCACATCCCCATAATACACCCTCTTCTATCATCACCAAGTTTAGTTACATCTCTTATAACTGAGACAACTGCTGTACTGTTCTTGTCTTACACCTGATAATGGGAACACAGCAACAAGTTCTTTGTAGGACACAGCTACTGGAGTACTGTACTGTAGCTGTATATGGTGTTGCTGGTAAACAGGGTTCTAGTAAACAAAATATTACTGAGGATGCTAAGCAAGCATCAAAAGCTTCATAGAATCACAAAAATAGTTGATTCTGAAAGCTTGTCATTTAACCAAGCTGGAAGAAGTAACTTGAGGACATGCCCAGGAAACCTTAAGCTTTGGTGGTCATATAAACAAGTCACTCCTGAGAAGCATCAGGTTATAAAAGTAATGCAAAACTGATAAGAAAATATTTAACAAATAAAATTCATCTTCATATTGTTCCAAGTTACATATTTTGAAAGCAGATATGGAATTCTACCTTTTAAAAAAGCATTTGCAATTCAGTCCATAACAACGAGAAAACCTTGCAACAAACAAGTCAAAGCCAACACACTAACAACCAGCCATTAATCCTTAATGAGACCACTGAAAAATGTCACAGTGGCAAGAAACAAAGTGACTAATGGCAACACAGTTCTTTAATACAAATTTTATATACGTAAAAACTTGTCACATATCTAAAACGACTAAATAATCGGAGCATTAATCAAGCATTGTTGGTGACAGTTTATACCTGAGTGTGTAAGATGTGTTGGGGAGACACAAGTGAACATTAACTACAGTATTGACTTATCTTTCTTATGGCACACATCAGCCATAATAAAATAAAACTCTGCCTCTCCTTCATTCTGTGTGTGTGTGTGTGTGTGTGTGGCCGTCATACCACATGTGTTATACTATGGTGTTCCCCTTCTACAACAATACCCTTATATGTCCCTCTGGTTTACCTACGGTACTTTACACATTCAGATTGTACAAGTAAATGAGACAAGTGAAATGTGTATAATGAATATGATAATGAATGTAGGTGTGCTTATAGATCCAGAGAGTAATAAATAACTTTTTTCTTCTGAGGATGATCTACACATATACAAAAACGGTTTAGAAATGTAACAAGAAATTACATATTGTAACTTGTTAAACGCATCAACCCTTCATTCTGGGGCAGTACAGTATAACATTTTCCAATATAATTACCTAGAGATTACATTACAGGTGGTCTCACTTAGGACTGACACACTCAGATGATAATAAAAATACAACTTCACCTACAACGTTGACTTACCTGCACCAGCGTGAGGGGTGAGGGCGCTCGTTCTCTCTGGCCTTCTCCTCGACCCTCGCTGGGACGCACCATCCTCTTACCTACAAGACAGTACAACTCTCTTCAATATTCTATAATACTCTAAAAATAACTGCATATTACCCTACTGAGAGGTAAGAGGCAGAACAACCTTACTGGTGACCCAATCACCTAATTCCCACAGTTAATGTTTACCTTCTGTCATACTCATTTAGTAGGCTCTATAAACAAACAAACAAATCACTGAAGGACACCAAAACCTTCGGATTATCTCAAGGTTTAACCCCAAGAGATCCAGCATCCCAAAAACCTCAAAATTAATATACAAATAGCAAAAATTCCAATTATATTATATATGTGTGAAATATGTGAGAACTAAAACTCTTGTTCATATAAAAACACAAAATCATTACAGACATTAAGGTTAAACTTATGGTAAAAAATAAACTCCAATGATAATACAATGATTAGTTAACAAGTCAGAAATTATGCTATAAATTAAAAAATAAATATTATATGTAAGGTAAGACAATATATGACTGATAAAAGTATATATAATCAACTTTATATATTCCAACTTATATGTGTGTGTGTAAACTGTCATATACACCATCTATGTAAAACAATCGATCCCAACTAGTGGCAAAACCCCCCTCCCAAAGACCAAAATTAGACTAGATTACCCTTAAAAAAAAATGAATCAATGAGGGGAACTATGATATTTTTTTAATAAGTGTCAGTGTTTTATGTGTATTCACTAGCTTTTAAATATTGAAAGAGAGAGAGAATGAGAGAAAGATAAGGACAGAAAGATAGAAAGAAGGAAAGAAAGACAGGAAGGAGGTCAAAGATAGGACGAAGGAGAGAAAAACAAGATGGAAGAGAAAGACAGGAAGAAGAGATAAAAACAGGAAGGAGGAGGAGAAAGACAGGAAGAACGAGAAAAGCAGGAAGAAGGAGTAGAAAGACAGGAAGGAGAAGACAAAGACAGGAATACTGAAGGAAGGAGGAGGAGAAACACAGGAAGACGAGTTGAAGAAAGACAGGGAGATAAGAATGACATCTGATTCAAATTTGGTCAATGAGAGGAGGAGGGATAAAGCCACATATCTTTTTACTAATAAATTGTATGAAGATATTTCACTACATGATATATATATATATTTAGTTAATGTGTGAGTACCTTGCATGTTATATATTCAATTTATAAACAAAATAATATTAGGAATACAAATACAACATTCGGATATAACAACATAATATACAGTATACAAAAAACAGCATAAAACACAACTACAAAATTCCTATATAATATACAACATAAATATTTGCAAAAACAACATACAACTTTCATTCACATCCGACATAAAAAGACATTCCTGAAACATAGAGCATTAGAAGAATTTATAAGGTTACCACTACAGCATATACACAAGCCTATAATCAGGGCAACATAAATTATTCAAAATATAAACACAAATTGCCTTATTCATAATATTTATATAAGATAATGGAATAAGGTAGTAACATATATAATCTAATTCTATATAATTTTTCAGCCTCAATAATTACAATTTCTGTTGACTGGAGTGTGACATAACCCCATGCTAGTACATGTACAGTAATTAGAAAGTTTTTAAATCATACCAAATCAGCAGATCTAAAATGTCCCACTAAATGATGCTGTTAATCCTTTATATGTATTAGATCATGCAGTACCGTACTACTGAATTATACCTGACATAGTAGAGCCATATCCAGGGGGGGTTATGCATCTCCTTTCATTGTCCCGGAAGAATACAAAACCATTTAACGTTGCAGGATGATTTGTATGCTAATTAAATATTATATGAGTTAATATCTATGGATGGATGGACCACCCTAGTAGCCGTGCCATGCATATTTTGTCCAATAGTTGTAATGTAAACTCCCCTGTTCTCGTGCCCTGGATATGGTCCTGTATATCATTTAAATTAATCTTTTTCAATCACACGAGACTGTTTCGTGCCATGGTCCAGAGATCACATGAGTTTCAATCCCCTGACTCCTAGCCTTACTGTACTGGAATACTTCATACTCTGAGCAGGATGTTAGTCTCGTGGAGTATGCATAAAACAGTGTTCTTACTTTAATGATGAAAGTAAAATATATAAAAAATACAGGCATTCCCCAATCCATGAACGGCTTCCATTCTTGAAAAAACTTTCGTAAATAACTTTTTCAGAAATCAAATCACGGTTTCCAAAGACATCTGATAAAAGCTGAGATATGTTCCAATGAATAATAACAATACAAAAAACTTAAAAATTAAAAACATGTTTATAATGAAAATATTTGGCATATACAAAGATCATTACCCAATATTTTGCATAATAAGTGAAATACATGCAGTAAAGGATGCAGGAGTTACTGAGAAACTGCACCACTGGTTGTGATGCAGCGTGATCAACGAAGTAATCTAGACCATGAACGAGATCGTTTGCAATTTTGGCTTTCATGAACCACCTGAAGAAGTCCCCACGTGGTCATCAGAAGTTTCACCCCTCAACTTAACCAACCCCAAATCACCTGGAAGGGGGGCTAATCTTCAGGTAAATCAATAAAGGCTAAAATTGTGAATGGTCTCAACTACATCACTACTGTTTTATATATAGTACACATATCACAGACCAGGATCAGGTCATAAACATAGGATCAGCCATTGTCCTGCATGCCACTGAGAGAGACCATAAGGGTAAACTAATGGAAGGGAAGCTATCTGTATTCAAAGTCATCCCTACACAAGATGCACAAAGCTTTGACCCTGGGCACTATACTGTACTATCAACTGCCTAAGCTTCTAAACCTTGCAAGGTTATGAGGAATATAAAAGGAAAAAACTTACTGATAAGAAAACCTAAATGGGAGGAATATTTAGGAAAGGATATTTTTATGTAAGTATTAGAATCTCATTAAAGTTTTGTCTGGAGAGGAAAAATTTGACAGTATAAAGTTCTTAGACGATTATGACAGTCATGCTACAAAAGATACTGAATTTCCCATGACAGAAGACAGGCGCAAGTTGTAGGCTGTTAGTTACCGTAAAAGCTTCAGGTTGACAGGTAATGAGGTGTGTCTGAGATAATTTAACACCTCATAATGTTAAGAAAGGCAAGATTAACAATATTTTCTGGAGGAGGGTCTCATGGGGTATATCTGGAAGCATCACAATACAAGAAACCCAAGTAAAAGAGTTTAAACTTTGTTAATGTTGTTTTGAGGCATGAAACACCCTCAACAGATGAACAAACCATGCATGAGGTTACTATAGCGTGCTGATTACAGATGCAAAAGTCCAATGAAGCGTCATAACTGTCCATACTCAGCTGGTAGAGCATGAGTTCATATACAGTATTTATATAATACAACAGGCCAATTACTTTATTGTTTCACCTTTTTATGTACTATCAACTTAATACAGATCTGGACAAAACTTGACCATTTTGAGCTAAAACTATCAAACAACTTTGCTGTCAGCATACTACTCTACTATACTGTACAGTTCTAGGGAGGTCATCCATTGTAGCTTCTAAACTGGACTTTACGCATGTTGCTAAGTATTACTATAAACACATTATAATTCCATGTAATCAGTGACTTACTCCCAAATTTGTTTGCAATTCGTGGGAGACATACATGAGGAGGTACACCCGATATGGAGACCGAGCGCATGCGGTCCTCCGCCGGCTGAGTCCCTGTCTCCAGCAAACTCACTGATCTCATTGTTGGACCTCGTGTTTCTATATTCAATTAGTAACAATTATAGGAGTCTTTCATATAATAGATATACATATAACATACTGTACCCACTGTCCAATATTTACAGGCATCATCTGTACTGTAATGAAGAAACATAGCTCATTAAAATTTCCTGACAATATCCAAATGAAAAAAAATAAATAAATTACTGGTTGCCACTTAAACTGGTCCACTTTATACAGTACACAGAGACCAGGTATCCTGTGACAGACAGACAGCATCTGATCAGCTGAGTCATAAATCAGTGAGCATTGAATCCGTCAAAAAATTATGGGACAAAATTTTAACGTTATAGCTTGTAATAAACCAAATGTGCTTTTTTTTTACACTACAATTTAAAAAGTTGACACACTCATGGGTTATGTTGCTTTGACTGTGACTTCACTGTCAATGGCCAGGGATACAGCCAATCAGGCACTCACATTTCACCAGAGAATATCTGTTGCCAAAGTACAGGTATCCCTCGCTTAATGAACGTTCCAGTTACAAAAATTTGCTTATATGAATTTCCTAAATTAACGCTTCCTTTTCACTTAATGAAGACTTCCCCTGGTTATAGGAATTTGGGTTGAAGCAAAAATTTAAATTGCACACCCCTGGGAGTCAGGTGAGGCAGCCATCTTGGACAGATGGGCAGAGACGTATTCTTGCTCAATGATCTTATCAAACTCCCCCTCCCACCTTCATCTCCCCCCAGCCTGTGTCTTTACTTCAACCATAGACAGACTGATCAATAGAAGCTAGGACAGATAGACAGGCTGATCAGTAGAAGCTGAGACAGATAGACAGGCTGATCAATAGAAGCTGAGACAGATAGACAGGCTGATCAATAGAAGCAGAGACAGATAGACAGACTGATCAATAGAAGCTGAGACAGATAGACAGGCTGATCAATAGAAGCTGAGACAGATAGACAGACTGATCAATAGAAGCTGAGACAGATAGACAGACTGATCAATAGAAGCTGAGACAGATAGACAGACTGATCAATAGAAGCTGAGACAGATAGACAGACTATTAAATAGAAGCAGAGACAGATAGACAGGCTGATCAATAGAAGCTGAGACAGATAGACAGGCTGATCAATAGAAGCTGAGACAGATAGACAGGCTGATCAATAGAAGCTGAGACAGATAGACAGGCTGATCAATAGAAGCTGAGACAGATAGACAGGCTGATCAATAGAAGCTGAGACAGATAGACAGGCTGATCAATAGAAGCTGAGACAGATAGACAGGCTGATCAATAGAAGCTGAGACAGATAGACAGGCTGATCAATAGAAGCTGAGACAGATAGACAGACTGATCAATAGAAGCAGAGACAGATAGACAGACTGATCAATAGAAGCAGAGACAGATAGACAGGCTGATCAATAGAAGCTGAGACAGATAGACAGGCTGATCAATAGAAGCTGAGACAGATAGACAGGCTGATCAATAGAAGCTGAGACAGATAGACAGGCTGATCAATAGAAGCTGAGACAGATAGACAGACTGATAAATAGAAGCTGGAGCAGATAGACAGATTGATAAGTCAATGGAAAGACAGAGAGACAGATGGACAGCTGCAGATAAAACAACTTTGGATTATATATACCACCTCATTAATCACAGACACACACACTGAATGTTATATCCCTCTACCCAGGCTAGGGAGATAAAAACATATATCCTTTCTCTCACCACTACATTTATATCTTCAATTACTTTATCTTTTTTTCTATTTTGAAGACACATTAATATGACCTTCAACCAGAGAAAATCCATAAGGGAATATATGTAAAATTGGTTCAGGTTCTTATATTAACTCTTACATTCACAAACATCTTCCAAAAACGTCTCTAAATGTGGCTTTAATGGTAACAAACTGGTACTACTGGTGGACTGTGGGACAAAGGTGAAGAATATGTTATAATGCACTACTGGTATGCAAATTATAGAAGGGTAATGATGTTTCTTATATATTTGTAATTTAACAGGAAAAGCCTCTACTTAAAGGGGAAAATCAATCATATCTTAAAAATGAAATGATTATTCAGTATCTTGAGGCTTACTAATGAAAGGTAAGTTATGGACCATCAAGAACTTAAAATTCAACTGAAATTAACCTTTTTTGGGTGTGCTTGGTTCTGATGCAGGTGTGGTGTGCTGCTGTACCGGCTGAGGGGGCATAACGGGGGCTGTGAGAAGACGATACTCTGTGTTGACATCCCAGAGAGCGTGACGTGTTGAGTCCATAAGGTAACGGCGCACCTCATCCAGGTCTACACGGCCACTCTCCCAAACTTTAAACTGTAGCATTGCCATTGGTCCTGTAATAATGGCATTAGTAGTTGGAAAGAAAAAAGATAATACTGTATAAAATTGTAGTCCTTTGAGTGAAATGTTAAAAAGAATCCTCAATATCCAATAAAATATTTTATTGGTGACTGACTGCGACTTTCTTCCCAGGATACTATGCAGTCCAGTGCTAAAATGAGAAATTCTATCGGGTATAACTAAGAAAATGTTGGAACTTTCAAGTGTATATGCCTTTGAAAACATATATAAACACATGTACTTATCTTTCCAAACTATATTAAGCATATGTTGAAAATACCTTAAACTGTTGTGTTGAAAAAATATCATTGATTACTGTAATGTTAAACTACTGAATGCAGGTTTCAAAATGTGTCAGACTGAACAGACATGTCACTGAAATCATATGAAAACCTTAACTCCTTCCCCCATATGACCTGAACTGGACCACCATGATGGTTTGAGACAACATACCAGGACTTTTAGTTGGACTTGGCTGGTACTCCTGAGTATAAGTGAGCACTTCAAAATCCTGTCTTGAAAACACCTCCATATAAGCATCCTGAGAAGGTCGTGGGCAACTGTTGGAGAGATTTAACCTATAAGTCTGTGTGTATTATTCTCATTATTACCATGTAGGTCTTATAACTAAGTAAATACATGTAAGATCAGTTAAAACCCAGTTGTTGTTTTACTGTGATGAACATATCTAAATTCTCTTACCTGATATGCTGCACAATACATCCACTACCATCCACTAGAGAGAAGGCAATGCAGGCTATGCCCTTAGCAGCAGACTTTCTAGGTCGCACATATAGGAAGATGTTTGGCTCACTACTAAGGTCTTGGTCGGTGGCTGAGAAGTCCTGTAGGAATAAAACATGTACGTAACTAATCATTTACACAACTGCTACATGTTTAACCCGTTGATGACGATGATTTAACCCTTTGACGAAGAGGTTTTAACCCTTTGATGATGATGATTTAGCCATTTAATGACTAATATTTAACCCTTTGATGGCGATGATTTAACCCTTTGATGATGATAATTTAACCCTTTAATGACTATTATTTAACCTTTTGATGGCGAAAATTTAACCCTCCAGGACTCACAGGGTTAAGAAGGATGAATAACTTCCATCTACAATTGCTACACTTTCAAAACTTAAACATCAGATATTTCAATCACTTGCCTGGAAATGATGTTCCAGGCAATTATCAGCAAACTTGGGATGGATAAAGCCACACGATAGCATGTTCTGACGCAGGTAGTAGCCCACAGCCTGTAAGTGTCGGTGTGCGTGGGCGCTCACGGTGAACCTGTTTCATAAAATTACACATTAAAACAAACGATGTTCTAAAAAGCACGTGAACAAGTACAGTAAATGGTACAGTACCTAATGTTGCATCAATTACACACATATACTGTACCCCTAACTGGTGCAAAAATCAATGAACTAGCTTGAACATTTAATCAAGTAATGAAAATCATACATATCAAGCTAGCAGCAAAACCTTATCCTTCTGTACTGGATAACTGCTCTCTGTATGACCCTTTTAATAAGGTTTGGAGGATGAACAAATTAAGGGATATGTATGTGCTACCAATATGGGCCTTCCACCTACACCTATGCAGTTGGAACATAAATAATTTCAATAGTAATATAAAACCCAAATTTAATTCACATAAGGACTCAAACAATCTACACCACAAGAAAAAAATCCTAAGTATTAATTAAAAAACTAACCTAACCTAACCTTACCTGAGTATAGTCTTTGGAGGTTGATAAGGAGGCTGAATAAAATGCACAATCTCAGGGGTCAGTTTGTGTTGTGGATTACTCCAGAGCATTACACAGATAGCCTCCACCACGGCCTCATCCAGACGGTTCTGTAACATCCGTACCAACTCCTCCTTGATTGCTGGACCTATGGAGAAGCAGCAACTATGAGGGGGATGTATATGGTGTATAAGTCATGAGATACAAAGCAAAATTATTTATGGATCACCTTATGATTTAGATGCCTCCATATTATTTCACCTGATGATTGAACACCCTAATACTACCTGGGGGGGTTAGGTTAGGTTAGGTTAGCATTAGGGTGTTTAATCATCAGGTGAATTGGATAGGAGTTCCTAGTCTTCATAAAAATCTGATGCAGAAATTAATAATTGTTAGTATATTTAAGGTAATTTATTATAAAGTTAAGAAACTCGTACCAAAATCAAGATATACGGTACCTGGCTCAGCAATGCCGTGCACAGTCAAAATTATGCAATGGTTGTGCTTGCGTTGTGCTGGTGTTGATGGCACGCCCTCCATTATAACATCCTTCTCTCCGAAAGAACTCACACGTGGCCGTAGTTCCTAAAAACATACTCTGTGTTACATCAGTCCTGGGAAAGTGGATTTCATATAATTCCTCCATTCCTTAATCACTTTCCCACTAAGAAAGAGAGTAGGTTTTATTAAGAGCAAATGTACATTTCCTTTATTCAGTATCACCTAGACACTTACTCGTACTTAATGCTGTAACTGATAGGTTCTATTATTGTATTCCCCTTCCACAAGACCCCAAACATTTCCCAGGTTTTTATAATTTACACACAAACATACACACACAATCCCTCATGTTCCTTTCAATCATTATTTTTCATTCATTCTTCCTGCAGTTTACTCCTGTAGCTTCACCACCACCAGCAGGATATCATATTCTTACATAATGCTGAGATGCACCCACGGCCTTCAAGCTCAGAGGGTCGTCATCACGGCTGCCACGCTTCCCCAGAGACACCACAGAGGAGCTGCGGGATAACCCAGTCTCATCGCGCCGTCCCTCAACCTGTGGCGACACTGACGTAGACTGGTGCTCCTTCAACCTGAAATATAACAAATTAAATATAAATCTATTATTTTCTAATTACCTACAAATTTGTTAAGACAAAAAATGCCATTAATTAATCCTTCTTCAAATTCAAAATAATTACCTGAGATAGAACACATTGGAGCCGTTGCCAGAACTGTCCTCGTAAACAAACATGTTCTTGCGGTTGTTGACGGAGAACGGGTTAAGGATCGTTCGGAGTGCTAGGATGCCCTTGCTGCCCACCTTACCAGCAGTACACTTAACTTTGGGATGCAGCTCAAACTTAGTCTCCCACACCACCCTGCAGGCAAAGGCTCCAGGTTTGAACTTAAAGGCAGCTTCTAAATAGCCTCGGCATTCAGCGTCACTATCTGAGGGGAAGAAGGTGCATACATGTAAGGTCTATACACGTAATCTTTATTATTTCCCTTTTACTTCCTGTTTTATTTTTACATCTTCAAATTTCATTATCTTCCCTTCCGTTTGTTTATTCCTTGCATTATTTCTTCCTCTTATCTACTATCTACTAATTTAAGCTCTTATATCATCCCCCTCCATTTCTTCTCTTCTTTACTGTTTTATATTATTTTCTATTCTGCATTATGGCCCCTTACTATTTACCTCTTCCTAAATTTTAAGTCTATTAACCACCTCTGTCTTCCCTATTCAAATCATCTACCCTATTTTACTCTCTCTCTCTCTCTCTCTCTCTCTCTCTCTCTCTCTTTTGGATAACCCTTTTATCATATACACTTTCCCCTGGCTATAAATAAACTCATTAATTAAAAGTATTAACCACTTACTAATACTATTGAAAGAGAAAATAGCCAATCAGCATCCACATTTGAGTACTGTAACCAATCAAGCATCTGCATTTGAGCAACTATAGCCAATCAGGATTCACAATTTGTGCACTGTAGCCAACCAGCATCCACAATTCAACCACTATAGCCAATCAACATCCACAATTTGATCACTGTAGCCAATCAGCAGCCAGAACTACCAGAGCCTACTAACTCTCACCATCAACTCCTCTTCCTTTGGTGTCCTCATGCCGCCAAATGTCATCAGAGGTCTCAGGTTCCAGGAGAAGGTTACACATACGAGTGTTGTGAAGGTCTTGAAGAAGCAGCGTCTGGTTCACAAGTTTCACGAGCGACCTCACGCTGCGCACGACCTCAGTCTGTACCTCACACCACCGAGCCATTTCTGTTTCAGTTCTGGAGTAATGATTTATTCTATTAGATAAAATTATACATTTACCAAAGATTATACAACAGATGGAGGTTAAATGATAGTATACCATTATATTGATCTCATTATTTCCTATCCTAAACTCCAGTACTATCCCAGCCATTGTTGTTATAGGATAATCAAGATAGAGTACTGAATCTTATAACATAATGAACCTCACAATAAAATACTTCATATTAATCAAAAACTTACCTACAGTGGAAGAAGGTATCAACACGATCGCTCGACACTCGCAGAATTAGCCAAAACTCCGGTAGGAATGGCCTTACCGACTCAAAATCTTGCAACCAATCACAGCAATCGTTGTCTGAATCGCTTATATCTCCCTCACACCCGTCCTCTGTTGTCTGTCCGGACTCCAGTAAACTCGACACATCGGAGTACGGTCCTCCAGGTACAGATCCAGTGCCAGAGTTATGACGACTCTTTAAAATGTCTCCTCCAGTTCCTGACAATTGTTATTATTAGATGTATCTTTTTATTTTGATAATCTACTAAAAAAAATTATCTCATAGATTTTATAAAAATGTATGTAACTTCAAGATAAGTAAGTCCCAATTGTATAAGAAATTAGGGGAAACTTTTGTAGATTTTTATTATACTGTAATGTTCTCAAAAAAGTAATTATTCTGAGTGATAGATCCAATTGTTCTCTTCTACTCAGTTATTGATAAGCTTTCCATCTTTCCATGGTCTATATCTCAACACAAGATCAATCCCTATTACTTTATACAACCCAGCATCACATCTTTCCCCATAACACTACTTATCAACCACAATCACCAACCTGAGTTATGTCGACTCTTTAACAAATCAGCGCTGGTTCCCGAGCTGTTTCGACTCTTCATGACTTCTGAAGAGTTGTGACGACTTTTTATAAACTCTGCCCACAAGCCACAGCTACTGTAAGAGGAACAAAGTATAACAGACAATATAATAAGTTGTTAAAAGTCAAGTTGAAGAAGACAGGATACTTTGGTAGAGTCAGTAGTAGTTTAAGGTCTAGACTATATCAGTGGAGGATTAATAAGTAAAGAACTCCCTAGTGTAAAGTTTTAGAAGTCACTATCTCAAAACCCACCCAGGAAGAGACTCAAGTAAACGGCCTTTCAGTCAAGTAAAGCTAACATTAATAAATGTAAATAGATATTATTACTTGTTTGACTAATGGAGAAAATTGAGTGAAAAACCTGATGATTTAGTTTATGTGAATACAAAAGTGAACTGCTCTCTCTCTCTTTTTCTCTCTCTCTCTTCTTCCTTTCTCTGCATCTTTTAAACAACATGTCACACACAAGCACATTCTTCTCCTGCTATAACCTTTATCAAGCTTCCTATCTCTGATTTCCTAAAAAGAAAGTAATCAATCTGTGTTTTGTTTCCCCTGACTTATATGTAATCAACCTACTCACCCTCTTCTTAAACAAAGTGTTGCATAAAATCATATTCATTACTTCTCCTAACCCAGGTATATTTCACCTTCCATATATACTGTGCTGTAGCCTGTTCCACCATGCACGCCTTCATAACCCTCCATACGCGCCCTGACTTAACTATTTATGTCACCACCCAGTAATATATTCACTCCTTCACCCAGCTCCAACACTTCATGCAACAGTTACCCCAGACCTCATCCTTCACACAACAGAACATCAACTTACCTCCCACTTGTAGTCATGGTACAGCTGGGTGTTGCTCTCAGTTGTTCCACAGAAGCATCAGTAACACAAGGTACAAAGTTGTCGGTGCTGGCAGATTTTCTGATCACCTCCGCCGACAGTGGAGGACGAGGAAAACTCTCCGACCCACACCTGAAGATATCAGTTCTGTGTCTGTGTTATTCTTCATAAGGTATAAGAATATGTTTTTATATGGTTTATTTTACACAAGAAAATCTTCAGTTCTTGTTGTAATCTGGCCGCTGGTTTAAACTGAATGATTCAACCGACATCTGGGTTAGTTCAAGACAATCCCAGTAAAATTATAATCACTGGAATATAAAAAACAAATGACCTCGACCTTCGTTTATCTATTTAACTTATCGTTTAGAAGCAGATATAGTTTGTCCTATTCATTTAGTGATGTACCATCCCTTTGATCCCCTTTCTTTGAATCCTCTCTTGGCCTCCTACTCAAACATTTAGTAGTGTACATTCTATTTGTATAATCAAGATACTGTAGCAAGTGAGAATGAGTGGCAAACAAGATCATATACAGTTATTAATTTATTCATATGAGACAATACTTGACTCAAAACATTGTTAATCAATTCATCAAGTAGTCCAAGATTGTACACACCTTATCAGTTCATTTAGAGGAAGTGAGAGACGATGGGGAGCATCTTTGACTGGCTTCTGCATCTCAAGAAGTGGTTCAGTTCCTTCATCAAATGTCAGCACCTTGGAGGGAGTATAAAGAGGTGTGTGTCCTTCCATAATGTTTTCCTCCCTTGTTGAGAATGGTTCAGTATGAGATGGATCGAGGGGTCTTGCATCCCCACAGACTTTTGGTGTTTGTGATTCATTACTAAACTTATCTTGATTTTGGCTGATTTCAGGTCTTTCAAAATTAATGGGTGAAGTTTGTGGTAATGTAGACTTTCCTTTGAGTTGATTTTCTAATGAATCCTTTGTTTCAATAGTTTTATCTTCAGCAATGTTGGCCCCTGAATATAATGATGTGACCCTCACAAGGAGGCCATGATCTGCCTCCTCAGGGTCCATGTGCTCTAGGAATGGCTCGGGCATTTTGTGTGAGTCTTCCTCTCCCAGCTCCCTATTATCAACTGTATCAACAGATTCTTTAGTGTGTGTTGTAGAGGCTTCTGGAGGGGAACCTTGTGATAAGTCTGGATACTCTTTCACAGTCCCACAGTTGTCTTCTTCTCTGTCCTCCTCTTCATCTGCCTCTTCCTCACCTTCACAACCTTCAGAAGATTTATTTGCTGATAAAGCAGCAGTGAGTGTGGTGCTCTTTTTAGGGGACTCTGACGACCGTACTCTTCCATCGTGTGATTGATGTGATGACTCTCGTGAGAAATGGCTTCTTACTTGCTTGATGTCTGAAACCACACAGATAAGTTTAATTTCCCTATAGTGAGAAATATGGTGAAGTTACATATACGCTGTACATCCATATACCTTTAACCATATATCTCATAGGCCTTCCCCTCAGCGCAGGGCATTATAATTCAGGCACAGCCGTCCTCATAAATGCACCACAACCTATGTTTATTTTTATCCAGATTTTTTCACTATCAAAAAACACCTCTAACAATACATATGCAATTCACTGTCTTGTATGACCTTTAGTCTTCTTCATTTCCTCCTCTCTCTTCTATACATTCTTCCCATATGTCCACACTACCCCAGTAACACTAACAACTTTATCCCTCCCTACAGTTTCCTCACTTCTAACTCAAGTCAAACCATAACATATTCCACACTTGCAATTCAGTAAATACATTGAACACATTTGTAACTAACTCATTTGTTTTCCATTTAATTTTATTAAGTCATTTTCACAACACTACTGTACCATGTTAAATCATCACATTTACTTCTTTTCATCATCAATACCTAAACATTTATCTTCACTTTACTAATAATATAAAACTACTTCCCTCACTCTAACATTCTCAAGTGACCTCATGTACATTCGCTTCAAAAGGTATCTCAAGGAGGAGTTCGATGAATTTCAAAATGAACACTGCGACTCCTGCTGTCTCAGTAGGATTATCAGACTCCTTAGTCCATCGTGTCACATTATCTCACACAAAATAGTAGATATTTTTTGGGAGTGAGTGTACATCCCTTTAATCCTCTACTATGGGGTTCTGCAAATCTTAAGTAAACAATATAACAACGATTGAAACCTGATCTATTATCTCGATTTACCTGTGTCAGAGTCGGAAGTGTTGATGGAGCCTCGTCTCTCAGAATCTCTCCTTTCCTTACGCTCACGACGTCTGACCCACTTCTCCTTCTCTGATCCTTCTACTCGCTGTACGTTGTTTTCACCTTCAACTAAACTCTCGGATAGATTTCCTGAAACATTAATTAGTCATTACCATTTTATATGTATCAATCATAGAAATTGAAATTGTCTATGTGCTATTATACCTGAAAGGAGAATATTTCACTTACAAACTTCCTTCTTCAACTGTTATATTACTCATTACTCAACAAAAGACATATTATCGGTAACATCAGCGTCCACATCAACTTACGTTCAGCATCAAATGAGACTCTGGTGGGCTGCAGTCTGTTAGGAGGACTTATGATGGCATCAGGTGAGGAGAGGCTGACCTTGTTCACCTGACACCCAGAATCCATCTGTCGCAGCTGAGCAATGTCATCAGCATGGGGCTGAGGCCTGCAGGTGTTTAACATATTATAATTTCAATTCACCCATTTTCTTTAAACTGACTCTTTTTCCACATGTATAAAACAAATATAATTTTTAGTATATTTAACCATATTTCATTCATCCCTAAACTTACTCTATTACAATATAAGACAGACCACCAAAAGGTAAACAAACAACAGAAAAACTAACTAAATAAATAAAAAATATATTAATTTCTTCTACATTACTTCATGACTGATGTACCCAACTGATCAATTACCTTAACAAGACAATACAAGCCACTAAAATACTCTCCATACCTGACAATGAGGAACTGATTCTTGAAGCCGAGGGGAGGCACCAGAGATGAGAAGGGTCTCCTCCTCATCTGAGTCTTATCTTGAACTAAGTAATACAGTGAACCTTCCTGCTTTAGGTGGTGGCCACTCACACTCATCCGTCCAAATTCCTGTCAAGATACACTACTTTAATCAATAGACAAGAGAGACTTATTTTGCTTCTAAACTCCTGGGGCTATCATGATACTGATGTAGTTGGATATCCCATCACATGTAAACAGAAGACTTATCTATATGTACTAAATGTATTACTTTCCACTGATATAATGCATTTCAGCAACACTTTAATATGCACATCCATCAAATCCTAACAGAAAAGATCTTATCTCAGTAATATGTACTGAAAATATTGCTTTCCATTGACTCATAATGCATATCAGATAAACTATAATAGGCAAAGTATTAAAATAATCTTCATGGAGCCAAGAACAATAATATTGGCTGCTCTTATAATACAACAGTGAACACACAGCTTACCTGCATAAATTTGTCTCTGCTTTGTTCCATGCCACACACAAAGTTAAGAGGGATGGATTCTGAGATACAGTTCCGGGCCTGACGAGAGCTTTCCACGTGAGTAGCGACCATGTCCAGAGTCTGTTCGGCCAGTGGGTACATGTGTAACATTGCCGACGCTATCTCATCCCGCAAAAGCCACTTAATCTGAAATATGTAGGGCACAATCATGAATATCTTTACAGTATTAATAACTTAAAAAGTTATCAATAACTTTTATATATTTTGTATTAAATTCATCATCCTCATAATTTCTAATTCAGGGAAAACCTCAATTACCGGACATTATGGAGAGGAATGTCCGCTAAGTAGAGTCAGTTAAATATGAAACCTACATCTAATGGATTAAATGGAGAGAGTGAAGTCCGTTACATGGAGGTATCACTGTTGTTGAGGCCTTGTGTTATAACTAATCCAGGATAAGCAATTAAAGACCTTAGGTGTTGAAGTACAGTAATACATTAAAACACCAACACATCACAAACATTTATTTACGGTGGAGTTAAATGGAAGCAAAGAAATACATCCTAAGGAGACAAACTAAAAAATAGCTTTAATAATCTAGAAGATAAAATCAAATACTGTACGTACAAATGGCTGACAAGTGATAAAGATGAACACACTGTAAACTTTGCTAGTCTTCTGCCTTGTAAGATAAAATTCATTAATCTTTAGTTTACAGCTAATAATAACCATGTAGTTTTCTTCACCCTTGCGCCATATTACTACTCAATAGACTAAAGTGTTTCAATATTGTCACCATAGTTACTAACATCATCAACTGTAGCAACAATCGCTTGGTGCTGATAATCTGGAAGGTGTCCAAGTTGATCTTCATCTTCTAGGAATCTGTTGAGAGAATCAAGATAAATTAAGTCATTTAAACAAGAAGTGTATCATACAGTACATATGTTCACAAACTTTAAATCTGTAGTTAGTATTTTTATGATGATGTGACCTCCATCTGTGAACCTGCTTTGTTTACAAGAAAATATGGATTGGATATAAATGTTTTCAAATATTTAGTAAATTACAACGCTTCTAACACAGTATATCATAAAGCTGACATGTGGAGAAAACAAAGAAAAAATGCAAAGGTCAGACCAAGCCAGAACTATAAAGCAAATACCTCAACCATTGTTATAGGCCACGTCATGGAAATGTTTGGTGCCATAAGAAATACACCTATATATTTTTTCTTTAAAGCAAGATATTATTAATTGGCTTATTCTACTTCCAACAGCAAACACAGAAAGACTGATCACTAAGTTAATTACAGTGAAGTGTTGACAGTGTTGAAGAACTTACGATTCATCCATATCTGACAGAGAGGCACAAGTTGACTCGGACAGAGATCTTGCTCGTTTATTCTGTGATGAAGCTGTAGAACAAAAGCTGGTTGTTCGTGCCGATCTTAAGTCCATCAGAGAAGCACCCGACTCCCCCGCTGTCTTAGAGGCTAAGGCGGGAAGCAGAGTCATGCACAAGACGTCCAGCGTCACACTGACCTGAGACAGGTCCACCTCGCTGCTCCTCAGGGACTCCACAATCTCATCTAATTTCAAGGAAAACAAAATACAGTAATTACAAATATAACTTATTAACTTATCACAATCTGGTAAAGTATAAAGAGTACAACATGTGAACAGCTACTTAATGGGTTACACTATGTAAACACTAAAACAAATAAGAAGCTACTACAGGTATTAACAGTGTGCAGTACAAATGTTGCTCCTACACCAAACATATTCCTTTACAACTTATTAAAAAAACCTTGAGGAGAACAAGAACAGGAAGCTGAATCATGGGTCACCAGAATTAATGATATTTATTGGAAAATTAAAATAAAGTCCCACGTTGTGCCATCTTATACAGATCCAATAAGTGTTATAAATTTGAATCCTCTAAAGATTAGGCACACCAGCTTATTGTTACCTAGGGGGGTTGGGCTAGGTAAGGTTTTAGTACAGTATTAGGGTGGTTAATCTTCAGGTGAGATATGCTGGGTGGATAATCTGCAGGTGATCTATAAATTTAAACCACACTCAAAGATTTTATAAAGGTTTAACTTAGGTACTTAGAATTCAACCAGTACTGTATTCAAAATCTTCAGCATATTTTTCAATCATAAATGTAAGGTCTTTGATAATTAATTAATGATTGTATCCATAGCGACTCTTAGTTACTAAAAGAATTTCATAAGAATCCATCTTCATGTTTTGATACTGGGATACAGGGTACTATGAAAAATCAAAGAATAATACAAGGTCATTTTTATTGTTTGAGATTCATAAATGACCTAAAAATAAGAAAGAATAAAGTCTGATCATATTACGAAGAACATTCAGACTTTATTCCCACAGATTATGAGGTTTTTGTTGACTGCACATCCTAAGATACAGTGATCATTTAAGGTTCTCAAATAAAACAATGACCCTGTACAAATTTGGGGAGATAAACTAATCCCAAATTCAAAGAGAAACAGGATGGAATTGAAAAACTAACAAGATACAAAAATTTCCAAAAGGAGACCCGTCTATCCATCCCTAATACATAATAACTGTACTCACCCAGACAAGTAGGCACAGTCTTCATGGGTATAATGGACTGTACGTGACCGGCGAGACGAACTGTGCACGTGAAGTGGAGGAAGAGTGGAGGGATGGGGCCGTCTGCTAGATCCAAGTTATCGGGTAGTGTGCTGAGGTCCTCGTCTCGCTCGCTGATGACGGATGTCTTATCTTCATCTCCGTCAAATGCCGTTAGCTGACTGTGAAGACGTTGGAATACTGTGGGGAAATTAAAGATACCAACTACAGTAGTTTAAACTGTAAATATGGGAGAAGAGTTGAGATAATTGATAGATCCATATTAATAAATAGTCATAATAATTAGTTAAGAAATAGCTTTGTAATTCAGTGGCAGGGGTAGAAAAAAAAGAGAATTATTAGAACTGGAAGATGATAATTAATAGGAAAAATTAAACTACATGTATGCATATTGTACTGTATATCAAATTAAGATTACTGAAGCTAATTTGATCTGTTATATTTCATGATAACTTCTCATCCCATTTAAATGCAATTCTTGTCCACAGAAAGTGTGGCCAGAGAGATGAACTTATGGACACAATTTGCTCATCCTTTAATCCTTACCAGTACTGCCAATTTCAGATCGGAATTCAATGCTCTTATCGTGGTCGTCATCGTCGTCGTCCTCCTCCTCCTCCTCTTCTCCTCCATTGACTGTGTTTTCATCATCAAGATCTTCCTCCCCCTCAGTAAATACATCAGACTTCTGGAAAACATCACAGACTCATGACGACCAACATTTTGAGTGATCTATTTTACACAAGTTCCTATTAATTTCCAAGAATAACAGAATACTGTATTATTAAATTGCCATATTCATTATTTATATTTTAAAAAACTATTGATAAAGTGATGGTAATAAAAGTAATCTTACAGCAGATTTCACAATAGAAATTTTTTTTTTATTTAATTACAGTAAGAACTTTGAAATCTAATTACAGTACAGTACATGATCATACCACAATTATCATTTTAACTAAACATTTTAAGTCCCACTCTAGAACTTAACTAATTCTTGAGTAAATTTCAGTGTTAGATTCAATACAAAATGCATAAAAAAAAGTAGTTGAATTTACAGTTAGAATAAGCAGATTAGAAACATAAAGGATGATGTTTCTCCCTGGCATAGTTAAGGGGAACTTTAGCTGAAACTTACATACTGTACAGTATACTGATTCCTGTTTGAAGTATTTTTGATCATAGTAGAAAACATTTCACAAGCCAAAAGAAAATGGCAACTTGCACTAAATGACTAACACACTGTTTACATGCAACTACTGTACTGTATATTAAACATGCAACAGTTAAACTTAAAGGTGAAATGATGCTCAAGCCTCTCAGACCATTCCATGTTGGAGGTGAAGAAAGATTAATGTTTAATTTCACTGACTTATATAAGAACCATATACTGTACTGTTAACATACTGTATATATAAAACACCAGACTATCACCAGGACATGATTGGAGAAGAATCATGTAAGAATTTATCATTTAAACAATCCCAGTCCTCATTTACTCCTTAATCCTCTTGTTCATTAAATTTTTTATGACTCCATTGTCCAGTGTTAGTACAGGACAACATAACAGTACATCCTGGAAATAGTAAACATACATAAAATATTCAGCTGCTACTAATCTTTCTTAACCCGTAGAGGTCACGGTCACGGGAACTTTATTAGCACTTGTCTCTGCTATACTGGACAAACATTTTCTACAATAACTAGTCATTCTATAAATAATCAGAAGCCAAAATTAATCCAAAATACAATAAGTAATGTGCAAGACAAGAGTATCATACAAAAAGATTAATTTAACTCATTACTTAATGAGTTGCTGAGAAAATGATCCATATGTAAGTTCATAGGTTAGTGACACACACTCAACAGGATGTATGTAACTATATATAGAACATATCTTCCAATCTAGGTATATCAAGCTGTACTCTCCCTCATGCATAGGAAAGTGATATACTGTACACAATCATAGTCATATAAAATGTAAACAACATCTTCTTCCCACTTGTCTGCACCATGCCAGTGTCCTTCATGCACAAGTAATAATCATCTAAACCAACAATCAGAACATCTCTTGAAGGATTTTTAGTCATTTACTGGAATCAAATATGCAATACAGTCATGACCTAATTGTCTTGGAAACAATGAGTAAAAAGATTGAAACTGACACAAATAACAAATACATTCAGGAAAGAAGAAATAAGTCATCTGGAATAATACATATAAGAATAATATACGGTAAATGAGTCGTCATGTATGTATCAGTAATCATGCAGCTTAATAATGTGTCAGTTTGGTTACAGTCATGTCATCTTTCATAAAGTAGTTGTTTGTGTCATGCATTATGTCAAAGATGAACAATAAACTATACTATTACCCAAAGTATATATGGAAGTGTGGTAAATAGACCCATTAATATCACAATAGTTGGTAATAAGTAGACCATTAATATCAAAACAGATAATCATGGTACACAGACTGACTTTACGAGCAAGTTACATTAGATTGTGACAAGTTAGCTTAGAGTAGAGTAGAGTACAGGGTGCAAATGGTAATTGAACAATGACATGCAAGAATATACTGTGTGCAAATGGTAACTGAACAATGACATGCAAGAATATACTGTGTACACAAACAATATGCTGGGAAGACAAGAGGTAAGTACTGTACTGGATGCAGGGATTACAGGCACAGCTTAACATTACAGTATCTTCTTCCTAAAAGATCTGAAAGGAAGCTAATGTAATGTACAGCAGGTTTTTATAAGAGATATATTTTATAACACTGATGATCAATGTTGCAAAATATGTTCTTATTCCTTGGAAACAACTACTCAGCTGTGTCAACAATTATGAGGACTTTATATTTACAGTACAAGGCATGCAAGGTAGCCAAGTAACAGTGGGAATCCAACAACCTCAGTTCTCCTTTGACTTGTGAATTAAATGCAATCATCATGATAATGCATTTTAAATACTGTAATACATAAACTATAACCACAAATCTGGCTATAATATATAAATAAAAAGCTAGTGACTCAAATCTGTTTTGTATAATGAACTAGAGAGACAAGGAGAGTTCTGAGATTGGTGTGTTCAGCATGATGAAGGAATACCTTGCTTACAGACACTCTTCGCAACTTTCGCTGCCTCGTCAGGTCAAGCTGATTCTGGAAGATCATGGGATTATATCACTTACAGCAGGAAAGGATTTAATATTGTAAGTTAACAGTAAACACTAACATTATTAACACACAAGCAGCTGGGTGTATTGACTGTACCTCTTTGCTCTTATAACAAAGTAAATTAAGTTTATCTTGTTTTAACTTACATATATCAACATTTATTGCCAAGTTCATGCCCCTTCCTGTATGTACTTTATTTTCTGAACACATATTCCAAAGCATATTCTTATATCACACATTTTAATATATAATTCTGGTTATATAAATTGTTTTAGAGTGAGAGAAGCAAGTTTACCCCTTGAGCATAATGACTTAAAACCACTGAGTATGATGACTTAGCCCCTTGAGTATTGACTTAATCCCTTGAATACAATAATAACCACTTGAGCAAGATGACTTAAACCTTTGAGTATAATGATTTAACCCCTTGAGGATGATGACTTAACCCCTTAATCATGCTTACTTTAACACCAAAATACAATAACTTACATCATCACATTTTAGGAGATTAATTCTAGTGTCATTATATTATACAGTCAACCCTTGCTTTACGCGGTCCCACTTTACGCGTTTCCACGTTTACGTGGTACCCTGCCGAACACGGAATGCTCACTTTCCGAGGAGTGTGTACCCTTTTACGCGGAGAGCGGCGCGAGCAGGGTGCGCACAAGGTCGCCCAGTCATCAAAACATTACCGAGTTCTTCACCCGTCACCCACCACAGCCGGCCCAAGTCAGTGATAGTGATAATGATAGTGAGGATATGGACTTATATGGACTTTGAGGGGTTTGACAAAGAGGCCCTGCAAGCCTCTGTGGTGGATAGTGATACAATTGATACAAGTGTACAGGTGAGGGCCAATAATCTGCCCTCTGCCTCGGAACCAACCTCCCATCCCCGTGTGCCCAGCCATCTTTTCTACTAATGTAAGTGTTAAAAAACCTAATATTATTGATATTTCTCTTAATTATTAATTGTGTGTACATACCATCATAAAATTAAGAAGTTATTTTTACTACAACGTAGGTATTGTGTCTGAAAAAGTGGAGTTTGGGGGTCGGCCCGGTCTCTATTTCAATTAATCCCATATGTTATGTTTCTCACTTTACGCGGGCCGCCGTGGGTTCAATTGACCGCGGAAAGTGAGAGTTCACTGTATACCTATTCAGCTACATTTCCAATATGTAAGTTTACTATATAAGGAAACACCTCCCCCCCCCTCCCTCCAGGTGATAAATTTGTTACACTGAGTCACACACAAGACCACAATATGCATACACCATGTTATACCTTTAAAGAAATTCAATGCAATAAGCATTATGGCTGACTAGTGTTAATTTTTTTTAGTGTGTTGTTTCACGGTGTCCATTAAACACCAGCTTTAAGAGACCTCACTGATATATTCATCTCTTAATCTGTTTTCTTTCTGTGTTTTTATTACTTACTTCTATCATATTTCCTTCCTTCTTTGCCTATTCCCTCCTATTGTTCGGTTGTTCATGGTAAATGTCAATGCTTCAATTAAATAAATTCTAATACCTTGATATATGAAGTACAGTAGATGTATTTTTGGGCCCTTGTTTACATGTTGAAACTTCGTACAGTATATAAAATAAATTACAGTATTACCCCGCCTAACGCGGTTTCACTTAACGCGTTTTATCATATACGCGGTGCCTCGCCAGAGCTGAACTTTCACTTAACACGGATTTTTTCCACATATACACGGTGAGTGTCCGGCTCGAGACGCTATTTTTAGATTTGCGCCACCCGCCACCCTGCCTGACTGCCTGTTTTAGCTCATAAAATTCATACAAATTACCCGGCCAGAATATAATTTACATTGCTGGAATTCTTATAATTTGGTGATCATTTTGAATATAAACATCATATATTTTGCATTAGACATACAAATTTTAGATAAACATTTTTTCTGAGTACAGTAACTATGTTATCTTTTGTGCAAAATATATGACATTTATATTCAAAATATTCCTGGTCTTACAAGGAATCCAGCAATGTCAATTGTATTATCCTAACTTTAGTTTGAGGTATTATTTATTAAAATTTAGTGGTTTTCCCAAAAATTTCTCAGAGAGGGAAGAGCCGGCAGTGTAGTGTGAGAGGGGAGGGAGTCGAGTCCATTATTTGAATGGACATTAACTTGGCGACTGTATTTCTCTATTTCTCTTAAGTATTAATTGTGTGCATGTACCATCATAAAATTAAGATGTTATTTTTACTACAACATAGTTATGTGTCTTCAAAAAGTGGAGTTTGGGGGTCGGGCCGGTTTCTATTGGAATTAATCCCATATGTTCTGTTGTTCACTTAACGCGGATTTCACTTAACACGGGACCCTCTGGGTTCTATTGACCGCGTTAAGTGGGGTACAACTGTACAATATTAGTGCTATGAGGTTGTGTTCCCAGCCTGTGTACATTACCATATATTATAAATACTTCATAACTTACAATTGATAGAGTAAACAAATTTATACCGCATATAAAATAATAACTGACATTCAATAAAGAGCCAGAGGAACTAAATCTCCTGCCAACATCTACCTGACACTTCCCACCTTCTGGTCTAACATGATAAGTACCATGGTCCTTTTCAGCTGCTGTCACCATCATCACTTAATTTTCTTTATGCAGACATTTTAGGTAAATATTCACTCAATATTTGTTTATACCAATAATAAAAGTAACTAAGACAGTTAAAATACTTGATGATACCCAAGAATAACAGCAATACCACAATACACACACTGTAAATGGTGGTGCATTGTATGTATATTACATTGCAGTGTGGTGCTGCTGCATGTTGGTTGACCCAGATGAATGTAAATAAACAGTCTTGACCATCATGATGTGCAACACTCAATGATCCATATCTTAATGTAATCTAATTTTTATTTACAAGGTACTGAAGACAGATAAATATTTAATTACTATAATAATTCTAATGATGTTATTTATTAATTTAGTTTAATTTTTACCTCTCTGTGTAAAATAATAGCACAAAATCCAAAGTTCATTACACCGATACTTTGTTTATCATATACATTACACATACATTAAGGTACTACTGTATGACACTTGCCCTGTAGTGCCTGGAGACCCTACTGGACTCAACAGCTCCTCTCCTAAGTTGCCCTACTGGACCACACATGTCCTGCCCTATTACACGTATGATAAATTTTTTCATAGGTATTCCAATAAAACCCACAGTGAGTAATAATGCCTCGGGGGCAGAAAGAGCTTTATGTTACTTGCAAATATTAAGGCAACAAGCACTCATTCAACAGAAGCCATGGTGTTACTGCAAATAGGAAACAAACATGCAACATAACAATCCGAGCTGTCTGGTGAGTGATGTCATGTGTTACACTCCACAACCACCATCCCAATAAGACATTCCTCCCTTCCATCCTCAAAGCTATTATCAAAGTTGCAATACTTAACAAAAAATGTAAGGAATTATTGTTTATGAAACCTATGAATAAACACTTTTTACAGACTCTTTCACATGATTCTTGTAAATAACCAAGTCACATTTTTTAGATCAAGAATAACCAGGTACTACTGTATAAATTTTTCTTGGCATTTCATTCACTAGTCACTCTAGAGTATAAGACTTAAAAGCACAGGAGCCTACAAAATACAGCACATAATGTTTACTTGTTAATTTCACAAGAACAATAACCACTTTTCTGTTAACACCTCCACTTTGTCATACACTTACACATGTGCATTATAATGACTGTAAATTAAACACACCCATCAGTAAATCTAATGAGCCAGAGACCCTAAGATAAAAAGTTGGAAGAATCTGTCAAATAAATAAACTCCTCCAACTAATTGACATCAGTGAATAAAAACATTAAAGAAACTAAACTTGCTGGGTTGTTTAAACTTCACCATTGACAGTGATTCTGCTTCTGTCCCTCCTAAAAGAAATATATTAATTGTACAGTAAATGTCTACTGTATTACAGCCATGAATATCACAGTTCACTCTTTCATGGACAATAAGTAGAAAACACTGCTAACATCAGGTAGGGAGTCGGTGGTGCTCTTGATCAACCCCACCTGTGACATGTTATGAAAGATCTTAGTCAATCAAATTCTATATATTGTCCTTTACAGAAGTGTACGTAATGGACTATGCCACAGTGATAAATGTTCTCTTTTGCCGATAATGGGAACTGACATACACCTGGTACAGTACTCAACTGACATACACCTGGTACAGTACTCAACTGTACAGTACTCAACTGACATACACCTGGTACAGTACTCGTATAAACTGAGATTGTACGAACATTGCCCACCACTGTTAAATGCTAATACAACCACAGTCAGTAAGAGAATATAGACAAGAAACTGAAATAAACAGAAAGATGAATCTGGGTTAGAGAAAAATGAGAAACAAGAGAGATAATTATGAGATACTGTGATGCTAATATGAATCCTGCAGCTGTGTTGAGCCTATGTTGTACCTTACAATATCCATCTCCATAATTCACTGGTGTTAAGCCAACTTCACGTACATGGTATACAAGCAAGTCATATCTTAATCCTTAAACGGCAGGATTCCCTAATCTACTTCCACATGCGCAAAAACTGGAACGCAAGGAACACGAAACATCCATTGACGTTGGCCACCATCCCTACAGCTAACATCAATTGACGTTGGCCACCGTTTAAGGGTCAAGATACCAATGAATCTATTTTTTAAAAAGTTAATTTATAAACATGCAAATAATAAAAAAAAATTCTAGCAGTGTCCCATAGCAGTTCATCAGTTGGGATGTGGCAAGAATCACTCACAAGCAACTCTAACCTTTTCCCAACGTTCCAGTTCCTGAGACGACACATAGAAGAAATCTCCTACTGGTGTTCCCTGCGCCACCAGTCAAGAGATAAAAATTACACCAAATTAGATTACACACAAAGACCTCAAACAGTCCTCATAAAATACCAATAATAAAAAAAACAAAAAACAATCGTTAACCCCTTCAATACGATGACCTCTTCCCTCGATAACATAACATTATAGTTAGGGATTAAGTCGCCATACTCAAGGGGTTAAGACAGTGAGAAAACAATGGTAAAATGTTCTAATAAAACAAAAAGAGGTTTTATTAATAACTGGCCATTAAATAGTCATACTACATTGCCCTACCAAAGTTTATTATGCTAAATTAATATTAAAATTGTACGAAAAATATCAAATACACGAGCAAGACGACTGTAAATGGTTATAATGTATAAGTTGTTCGGAAAATTCACCGAAAACTGTTAAGTTGTCTATTCTTGTACAAGTTTTTTCTTCTTCAATTCATAGTGACCAGAAATAAGTGTTCACACGCACGCACGCACACGCACACAGTAGGAAGACCATGAACAAACAACGATGAATAACTCACACAATTAATAAACAGTATTCAATAAGAGCAAAATAAAAGTTGAGCTAATATGAGATAATGTGAAGTAATCAATATAATGTAGACTGTTTACATCATCTGGATCTAATGAGATAATCCTTTACATACAAATACCTGGCAACAGTTTCTATACCACGTACGCCAACTCCGTCAACTCTCGTAATATCCGTACTTAATCAACTGTCTATTCATGGATTGACAGCTGTACTCCCCTATTATGGTGCCATACTCATAAACATGGTAGTCTCTGTATCAATGTTCATGCCTAGAGTCAATTTCTATTCGTATATATCATCCCACATTCCTCTATGAAATTTAATCCCATAAACACTGTATAAAATATGCACAAAAATTCTTATAAAATCTTACTCCCAAAACACTTCAGTAATATGGCAATTTTTTTCCATTTTCAAGACACCTCTAAAACAATGACAGTAGCACCACAAAGACTGGATGACCTACCTCGCTGGATCGACGAAGCGTTTGGGGCGAGAAAAAATAGTAATCGGGGAGGGAAGGAACCGGGTGGAAGGAGCCCTGTAGGATGGTCAAGAAGCGTTCCCTGATGCTGGAGTGAAGCTGCTGTAAGTCTCTACAAGGGTGGTGGAGTTTTAACAAGGAGAGTGGGAACCTATTGTGGCTACTACAGCTGGTCTTCATGGCTAATGCAACACGTGTAGGGCCTGTTGACTCTTTCTTCTCCACCTATGAATGTCGTGAAATATTAATACAATTACAAAGACGACGAAGCCGACTTTAATACAAAACATGGCATTCTGTATTATGAAGAAAGTAATACAGGTAATGTAAAATTTATCATCCATCTATAATCATAATAATCATACCGACCTCATTCAGAAATTCCGACATTAATAATGCTTTAATTTATTTGCAGATTATAAAGAAGAAAAATTTTATCATGAAGGACAATTAATAAAAAATATGAAAAGTACACATACAGTACAGGGTAAATGTATAAATTTATAACAGCTGTAGTGACGATCATGACGAAATAACTCCCAGAGAAGATAAAATATGTAACATCAGTTACCATAGCAAAAAAGACCATTAAAAAATACCTTATCTGAGGATGTTCGATGAGGGGAAGAATCTGATTTTGGCACAGAAGCCTCGGGCCGACACTGATGCATGTGTTCAAGGTCGATACGCAGCCGGAAGTCTCGTAGGTGGCCACAAATTGTCTGTTGGAAGAGAACCATTTATCCCAACTCTGATCAAATATACTCAGGCTGGAAACATGCACAGGAATAACTGAAGCAGAAGACATACAAGATGGGTGACATGAACAATCAGAGCTGTTTAGTACATAGGTCATCCAATGCATAAGAGGATAAATAAAAACTAGATACTGTACTTGTATGTATATTCTGTATGCTGTATTTATATTATGCTATGTATATTATGTATGTGCTCCATTTATGTATTATTTATTTAGCCTAGCTAGTAGCATGTGGCAATGTATTTATCAATGTCCCACATGCTTAATTAATGTGCCTGGCGACGTATGGAAGCTGCTAATGTATCACTTGCCATACGTCGTCTATAGAGCAGTTGACCAGCGGACAGGCTGAAGAGCGCTACTCCCCTTGTGTACATATCTCTTATCCAGTAAATCGAACCTACAAAATCTATACAGGTGTTTGTGTTCGCTCCTGTATATTGAACTTATTACCCAGAACACGAACAGTACTGTATATTCTTCTGTTCATACGGAATCCTCCACCTTTGTGCTAATCTGCCAAGGGGAGCATAACTGTATACAGAATTAATACAATGTCTTACCCACCCAAGGTATGTGCATCTATATTTGATAGTTAGACAGTCTTCCAAAAAAATTCTCAAATCTCTGAACTGTAGTGATATCGTATCTGGCATTAGAAAGCATATAAAATCCCCCTTTATTTTTAACATTATCCATTGATAATACTTATACAACTTCTCATGGCAATACAATAATAGGGTAGTTAATTTTTTATACATCACATTAACACAGTAGTACAGAATTTCTCACCTGAATAAAATTTGTGATCTCGATTTCCATGACAGCTTCATGACAAAGATCAAGAGCAATCTGCATGTCATGAGCCTGTATGTTTAGCTCTCTCTGTAGGGCCTGGAACACTCCCAGGACAAAGCTGCGCAGGTACAGCACCTCCAGGGCATCCACATGTGCACGTAAATAACTTGTATCAGCTGCAATACAATACCAAAAAAATACATGTGTACATATACTGAATTAAGAAACTGTTCACATTCATAAAGCAAACACATTCAAAGTGCATATTTCCCCCAAATTAGCACAAATCAAGTTGTTATATTTATGCCATGATTCAAACATCTGTTATTGTACTGTATATGCTTATTGATATCTACAGTACAGCACTATATAAGTACAGTAGTGCTTTAGCTTGAATTAAAGTATTTCTATAAAACTATAAATCATCAGAAAAGGAAAACATATGAACTAGTAACACCAAACTTCATATAACTATAGTACATACATCTGAAAATAAAGAGCACATTTCAAAGTTAATGACTAATTTTTAAGTTGACGTAAGAAAACAGTCATGTACTTTAATAGCCATACATAACAGTGACTTCAAACAGGTGAAAAAGCCAATTAATTAGATCAGACATAAGTGGTACTTTTCACGTGATCCCAACAACGTTACATAACATAGGCCAAGTGAACTACAGTGATCACTACCTCCAACGTCAGACTCCTCAGAACGTGGCTCAGGACTTGGTTGCTTGAGGTCTTCTTGGAGGCTGGTGGTGATGGTAATGGAATCGTCCTTGAGAGGCACCGTGTCCTCCACTATCTCACACTCAAATTTAGATGTGGAGTCCATGTAGATATCCTTTCCGACAACGCCTGAACGATTGTCACTGCTCAAGAAACGATAGGTATTAAAATTCAATAACCATGCTAACCTAACTGGAATATCCAAAAATTATAAGTTGTAATTCACTGTAAATAAAAAGGATGATAAAACAACAGAGCATCACACTGCAACAAGGTACCTGTTTATAAGTTGTGTAATGATGCTGCTTAGTTTGCAATCATAGACATATATAGGCAAGGTAACAGCACCATACATGGGTTTGTGGGAAGGTGGTGGCTGCATGGCGCTCGTACTTTCATCTAAGCTGGAAACTCTCTGTACGGAATCAGTTTCTCCTGTACCACCAACACCTGCGTGTAGATGGAGTGGCACACAGCCATCTTCATTCCTGAGGCCTTCAGGTGACATGCTCTTTGTTGTAGGATCAAACATTCCAGTATATGATTTTGATGGCATTGAAATGTATCTCCTCTTGACCTGTTCATTGGGGGAGGTGATCTTTGGCACATCGTACTGTGGTTCTTTAGTCGGTGAATCGACTGACCCGGTGCGGTTCCTCTCTGCCCCTGCACCGCCCTGACCAAAAGAACTACACCGTTCTCGACTCACGTGAAACGAACTGGCTCTCTCTCGCAAAACAGAATCGAAAAAAACTGACTGAACTTGCTGGGAAGTCGTTTGAGACACTGGACCAGACTTATAGCGTACTCTTGATGGAGTGCGTTCACCAACTTCATCAACTGACATGGTGGCAGATCTACTGTTTGTTGGTGTGGGAGGAGGAAGACTGGGAGAGGTCATGTGTGTGAGAGATGATGTACTACTTTCTAGAGAGACCAGCTGCTCTGACATGAGACCTGTTGGAGGCTGGTCAGTTGTGTTAGTCTCAGTGTCTAAATCAAAAACATTCTCAGAATTTGGCACAAGCTTGAGAGCCATATTGTTGGTCTCAGTTATATTGGCACGTTTGACCAGAAGCAATTTGAGGTCGTGATAGGAAGCTGGAACAAGAGTAATGAGGAGGTGGTTGGTGGACACACCCTTCAGGAAACACCGCCACTTGGGAGGGTCACTCATCTTACCTGTGGGTGGAGGAGGAAAAATCAATTAATGACATTACAAAAAAGCTCAGATGTTCTCATGGCATTGTAGTTATATTAGAAAAGAATTTATACATAAATTTATAAACAAATACAGTATACATAAATAAAGAAATTCCAGCTCCTTTGCTCACGTGCCTCCTTAAATAACCAAAATATCTAACTCAAATTGTAATTTTTTGGAGACCATATGAAGATTAGCCCCTCTAGCTTATTTCACCTGATGATTAAAAACCATTAATGATAACCTAACTTAACCTAACCCCCCCAGGTGAAATAAGCTGGGTGTTATTCTTACATAGAACAGACATCTCACTTATACTTGACCAATGAACAAGTAACACATCTCTCGGACTTACTGATATTTGTGTTGACAAACGGTGAAGCCTTGGCAGTGGGAGGACGCTGACGTTGCTGAAGCATAGTAGGAAGAGCCTCCAGGTCAGCAGTACTCAGGTGGAACTCTCTGTCGTGGTGTAGCTGGCACAGGTGGTCCAGCAGCAAGTCATACAGGATCTGGTTGGCCTCATCCACCGACGCCTCGCAGTCAAATGTAACTCTCTTTACCAGACTAGTAAATAAATCTGCAAGACCAAAGTATCAGTTACAAAAGGCTTACATCATATACAGTTATAGAAAAAAGTCCCGTTAGTTCCCCTTTCCCATTCATGAACCCAGAGACACATGAACCTGTGAATCCAAATCCTCACACCATGTGCCATCTATGGGACTAACAATGTGTGATGTCTCGGATTCACAGGTTCATGAGTCTGTATTCATGGATCGGACAGATGACTCACAGCACTTTTTTCCCTGATTACAAATTTACACATAATTTCAACTCATTCCAGATACTTTTAGTTCTTACAGTACTGTATATGACTTATTGTACTGTATCTGGTTTGAAAGTTTTAACTAGGGAACATAGAACATACATTTTGTTCATTAAGGCAAATACATCTAAGAGTATTGATTTAATTTAGAATGGGTGTAAAACCTATGAAATCCAATGATGATAGTTGTAACCCCACAATCATATAAATTACTTCACTCATGTGGTATACGTTCTCCGACACCCGACCACTCGACAAACCTTGAATATAAGTCGATACGAGGAGCTCAACTTGCTGACACATGGGGAGGAGTCCAATAAGATCAAAGGAGAACGGAATCTGCATGATACGTAGCGATGGGTCAGTATTGGGTTCATCGAATGAGTAGTGGGTATCGGCAAATCCCCGGGCCTCCATACCATCGGTTCCGCTGCCCTGACACATCAACAACAAATGCTCCACGGTCAGTAGCCCCCAGATACATTTTTGGTCCACTGGGAAGAACTGAAACATGGAAAGGAAAATGAAGCCATAAAAAATGAATCATGTTTACTAATTATTTAAACTAGATAGAAAATTAGAAATACAGTAGTACTGTAAATACCTGATTAATAATATTTACATTATTTCTGTAAATGAAACAAAAAACATTTATTTATCACCCTTATTGTTTTTCACGATTAATAATAAAATAACAGGATAGATAAATTTTATACATAACCTTTTAATCTAACCTAACCTATCCTCTCCTAACCTCAACCCCCCTCAAAATATCATTAGGGTATTTTAAACCTCAGGTGAAATAAACTTGGGGCGGGGGGTCTAATCTTCAGGTGATCCATACAGTACGTACCCCCTTATGCCAAGTGCTCTCTCAGGTTCAAGGCTCGTACACTATCAAATCTTCAGTTCTTATATTTTACCGAACTTTATTTTATATTTTTATTAACGTTTATCAATGTCTTTTAATTTGGGATTTTACTTATATTAAAAAATTTTATATTTACTGTTTATTTTGTGATAATTTGTGTTCATTGAAGATTTATATAGTTGTGGGTGTATCCACATAAAGATCTATCCACATCAAGATCTATCCATATCAAGGTCTATCCACATAAAGATTTATCCACATTAAAGTCTATCCATATCAAGGTCTACCCATATCAAGGTCTATCCATATCAAGGTCTATCCATATCAAGGTCTACCCATATCAAGGTCTATCCATATCAAGGTCTATCCACATCAAGATCTATCCATACCAAGGTCTATCCACATCAAGATCTATCCACATCAAAGTCTATCCACATCAAGATCTATCCATATCAAGACCTATCCATACCAAGGTCAATCCACATCAAGATTTATCCACATTAAGGTCTATCCACATCAAGATCTATCCACATCAAGACCTATCCACATCAAGATCTATCCATATCAAGGTCTATCCACATCAAGGTCTATCCACATCAAGGTCTATCCATATCAAGATCTATCCACATCAAGATTTATCCACATCAAGGTCTATCCACATCAAGGTCTATCCATATCAAGATCTATCCATATCAAGATCTATCCACATCAAGGTCTATCCACATCAAGGTCTATCCACATCAAGATCTATCCACATCAAGACCTATCCACATCAAGATCTATCCACATCAAGGTCTATCCATATCAAGGTCTATCCACATCAAGATTTATCCACATCAAGGTCTATCCACATCAAGATCTATCAACATCAAGAAGAGGATGAGGGAAGTGACAGGGAAAGTAGAGGTGAGGGAAGTGGCAAAGAAGATCAAGGAGAGGAAAGTAGTGGAGAAAGAAGGGGTAAAGGAAGTACCAGAGATGGTAGTGGTGAGGTAAGTAGATGGAAGGTAAAGGTGAGGGAAGTAGCAGAGAAGGAATGGTAAGTGCCAGAGAAGGTAGAAGTGGGGAAGTAGCTGAGAAGCTAAAGATGAGGGAAGTAGGTGGAAGGTAAGATATAGTGAGGTAAGTAGATGTAAGGTAAGTAGCCAGGAAGGTAAGTAGGTACTGGCAATGTTATCAGGGAGTGTATCAGGCCAGGTGCATTATCTTATCAGAGACCTCGACCAGACACTACTGATAACCTCTTAATACCACACCACTACCACCTACCACCATCATCTACCACCATTATCACCATCTACCACTATCATTATCATCTACCACCATTACCACATATTATCATCACTATCTACCACCATTCCACCTACCATCATTACTATCTACCACCACCATCAATATCTACCACCATCATCATAATCTATCACCATCATCACCTACCACCATCTTCAACTACCACCACCTACCACTATCTTCACATTGGGGATTATTCTTCAGGTGAACCATATACAGGTAGTGTTATTTAGATCCTACCCAATCTCTAACTCCCCTTGGTACTTATGTTCCCAATTTTAATCTGATAATTTTGTAATAATTCCTTCGTTCATTTGTTTTTGTATTTTAGTTAATTTGTTTTTCTATTTTATTTCATTTGTTTTTCTATTTTAGTTCATTTGTTTTTCAATTTCAGTTCTTCATTTGCTTTTCTATTTTAGTTCTTCATTTGTTTTTCTATTTTAGTTCTTCATTTGTTTTTTTGGGGTAAAATTTCAATGGTTTTTTTTTCCCGAGGTTCTGTCAATTTTAAGACGACACTTTACATCTATGACGTTTCCCTTGAAAATGACCTGACCTGACCTGAACTAACCTCGTCCCCTCCCCCCAGGCATATATAGTATTTACAAGCGAATCATTATAGAAGTGTCTCAACTATTGCTAACAAAAATAAAACGGTTGAGATTCCGTGGTTGTACGAAACAGCAATACCATAAACCCTCCCAATACCGGACTTATTCTTGCGGGCTCTGTTCGTTATTGGAAGAGTTCTGTTATTCATTCTTGCAAGCCCTGTCCGGAAATAAGAACATAAGAATGGAGAAAACTGCAGAGAGCCTATTGGCCCATACTGGGCAGTCCCATTTACACTGTTGAAAAATATTTATTCAGATTATTGCTCATTTCTCCGTCGTTATCAGCTAGCTCGCCAGTATCTGACTGTATTGATCCAATCTTTTCTCGTGTTTTAGTTTGATACATTTGATAGAATCCCTTGGGGTTTGACTTCGCCTCCCTTGCTATCTTCAGCTCATTATTCCTCTTGGTTTTTCTTATATCGGTCTTAACCCTACCGGCCAATACCTTATAGTAATCTTGGAGGTAAACTTCACCACGATTTATTCTCCTACCTATAGCCTTCCTTTGTCCAATAATGTTCTTTAAATAATTATTTATCCATTAAGGGTCATTGTTGTCTGATCTGAGCTTTTTGTATGGTATGTTCTGCCTTTGTGCATTAAGTAACTCATTATTTAAATTGTCGTGCAACTCGGCAACCTCAGATCTCATTATCAGGTCAATCTCAACCGTCAGGTCTCCAGGTAGGGTGAGGTCGCCCTCTGTGGGTACATTGATTGAGGTCATGTAGTTCACCCCCAAGCGTGATACCCCCTCTCTCAAATGCCTCTTCAAACAATCAAAGTTTGCCCTTCTGAAATCTGGGACTTTAGTGGAATTTTCCTTACGGCTGTCCTGAAATTCTAACTGGAATCTAATTTCTTTGTGATCGCTGTTTACAAGTTTATTCCCTACCTCGACATTACTAATGAGGTTTTCTCTGCTTGACAGAACTAAATTGAGTATATTATTACCCCAGGTGGGTTCGGTTATATGTTGACTTAGAGGATTGTTAGTGTTATTCTTGCAAGCCCTGTCCGTTAAGAGGATTCTATTATTCTTATCCTTGCAAGCCCTGTCTGGTATTGGGACGATTCTGTTATTAAGAGTATCCGTTATTGAGAGATGTGTATTGTTTAATTATTATCCTATTTTGGGGACTATTTCTTAATAAGTCCACCAATTACATACAGTAAAACCTCGATTAACCGACTTTCGGATTAAACGTCAATCCCGAACTCCTATTTTTTTTTTACGGGGATTAGCCCACCCGGGCACAGGTCACTAGCCCACATCGGGGCCTGGGGGGCGATAATGTAATAATAATGATAATGATAATAATAATAGTAATAAAGAACCATAAAGAAATAAAAATGAAAAAAAAATCAAGAGTGAGAAACAATATATGTATGTTGTGTTGTCAATAGTAAGAGAAGCAATTGAGACCCTGCAATTGTGTGTAAATGAGGTAGAAAGTCATATCAGCAACCTGGGACTAGGTCACAATTTTTGTGATGACATATGTTCTTTGACCTTTCCATTTTTTATTCACGGTTTTTGTGCTGGTTCATATTTATTTACTAAAGTGGTTAATATTTTAAAGCAAATTCTATTGAAATAGGAATGGCAAATGAACAAAAATGAATAGAGGGAATTAAATGAGGTAGGTTAGGGAAAGGTACTTTGAAAATGTATGTTTTATTTCCGTAGACTTTATGTAGCCTACTATTAACCTACTTTTCGGATTATCCGTCGGCCCCTTCCCCCCATATGTGGTCGGTTAATCGAGGTTTTACTGTACTTCCTTTCCTTCACATCTAGTTATGAGGAAAATAGGAGTCACTTGAAGATTAAGCACCCCAGTTTATTTTACCTCATGATTTAACAACGGAACGCTATTTGATGGGGTTAGATTGGGTTAAATTAGGTTATCTTAAGGTTGGGTTAGGTTAGGCTATGATTACAGGTGAAGTACTGTATGCTTGGGTGTCTAATCTTCACGTTTTCCCTTGAAGTACCGTGTGTTGAGTGTTACCAGTCATGTGTGTGTGTGTAGACGACTGACACACACCTAGACTTGTCTTAGTGAGGTGGACAGGTGTGTTAATTAAGACAGGTGTGTTAATAGACAGGTGTGTTAATGAATAAAACAACGAAGAGAAAAATTATAATCATTTTTTTATTTCCTTTTATTTTGATTAAAGTTCATTTACAAGAACTTTGGTGAAATATAAAGTAGCATAACTGTTATATATATATATATATATATATATATATATATATATATATATATATATATATATATATATATATATATATATATATATATATATATATTTTATAAGCTTATGTATATTAGCTATATAATAACGTTTACATATTGTTTCATACGAAATTATTGAGAGAGAAAGAGTTAGTTAGTTAGGTGTAAGATTGCGAGCTAGGTGTCAGAGAGTGAATTTCCTGGAGGTAAATCTGACCACTGGAGCACCAACACTGACCAGGTTATCTTCACCACACACACCTCTCTCTCACACACACACCTAGCTCACCCACACACCTAACACACTCTTTTACACTCACACCTAACACACTCTCCTACACCTCACTCACACCTAACTTTCTCTCTTTCACACCTCTCTCTCTCACACCCTAATACATCAACAGTTACCTTCCTCTACAATACACCCACAACACTAATAAACGTAATATATTCGTAATTTAATGTAACTAAGTAAGGTAG